AAACAAACAAAAAACAGGGTCGGTACCTTTAAGGGCCGAAGAGGACGGGTGGAAGGGAGAAGAGGAGCGTGCGTGCGTCAGGGACGCCAGGGACGTCAGACGTCAGAGAGGCGGAGCCACGCAAAGATAGAAAGGGGTGGAGCCCCAATTAAAGGAAAAGAAGAGCAACGTGCAAAGGAAAGACAAACGAGGGAAAGGGACGGAAAGAAAGTAAGGGCAGAAGAACAAAGAACGAAGAACAGTGAACCCAGAAGCACAGCCAAATAAAAAATCAAAGAGAACTAAAGAGAAGAAACAAAACAAACAAAATAACAAAAATAAACAAATAGATATATAGATATATATATAGATATATAAGACACCCCCAATATACACATTAAAAATACATTAAAAATACAAAAATACAAAAAATATAAAATACAAAATACAAAATATATATGAGACACCAAATATACACAAAAATAATTAAATAAATAATAAAATAATAATAATAATAATAATTTTTTTAAAAAAGAAGAAAAAATAATAAATAACAAATATTAATAAATAAAATAAATAAAATAAAATAAAATAAAATAAATAACAAAATAATAATAAAAATAAAATAAATAAATAATATATATACACATAAAAAATAATAAAAATAATAAAAAAATAAAAAAATAAAAATAAATAAAATAAAACAATAATAATAATAAATAAAATAAAAACAAAAAAATTAAAAAAAATTAAAAAAATTTAAAAAAAATAATAAAAATTAAAATTAATTTCTTTTTCTTAAAAAAAAATTATTAACAAAATAAATCTGTCAAAAAAAAGAAGACAAAGAATAATATAGTAGAAACTATATACTGAAGAAAATTCTAAACAACTGGAAGAGAGTATTAAGGGAAGATAACAAGGAAAAAAAAAGAATACTACCAAAATAAGAATAATAACAATAATAACAAATCACAACACAAAGAATGATAAAACCCTCCAAAAGGAGAACAACAATAAAGAAGGGGGAAAAATTATACAAAAATAAACAAACAACAAACGACAGAAAATGGCTGATAACAAAGGGGATAAAAAGTCTGCAGCATCCAAACAGAATAAAATAATGACCCCAATGGCATTAACGTCCACAACTCCACCCTCTACACCAATCCCAGCGAGGAGACAATCAATACAGTCCGAACCCTCATTACTTGATCTGATGCAGGAAATGACGAAGATACAAGAACACATCGAGAAAAAAATAGAAGATAACCAATTGAAGACACAGCAGAACATGGAAAAACTCTTTCAAAAAGAGATGGGAAAGCTAAGGCAGGAAATGAAGGAAGACCTAGCAGTGATTAAAAAAGAAATGAATGCCATCCAGGAAGACATAAAANGGGGGGAAAGGAAAAGAAGAGGGAGGGAAGGAAGGAAGAAGGAAAAGAAAGGGAAGGAGAAAAAGAAGGGAAAGACAGGAAAGGAGGGGGGAGAAAGAAAAAGGAGGGAAGGAAGGTGGGAAGAAAGCCTTGAATGAGTGGCCAGAAGCGTGGCGCTCACCCGATTCTCGTCGTAGATGATCTGGACAATGCTGCGGTGCTTCTGCTCCACCGGAGGAGGGGAGACGGGCCTCTCGGGCTCAGGGGGCTTCGCGGCTTCTTCTTCGAGTTGTTGCTGCCAAGACAGGAGGAGACCAGCCAGTTGGTCGAAGGGACGCTCGTGACCTCCCCCCTCCCCCATGGGAACCCCTATTTCTCCCTTCTCCAGCTCTCTACTTCTCTTACTGCCTTCCTTCTCCAGTTGTGAGTCCATTTCTGTCTTCTCCAGCTCTTACAGTCTTCCTTCTCCAGCTCTGAGAGTCCCTTTCTTCTTTCTCTTACCATCTTCTTTCCTCACTCTGAAAAATTATTTCTCCCTTCTCCAGCTCTGAGAGTCTACTTCTCCCTTCTCCAACTCAGAGTATCTTTCTTCTTTCTCCAGCTCTGAGAGTCTCTTTCTTCCTTCTCCAGCTCTGAGAGTTTACTTCTCCAACTGAGGGTATCTTTCTCCTTTCTCCAGGTGTGTGAGTCTACTTCTCCCTTCTCCAACTCAGAGTATCTTTCTCCTTTCTCCAGCTCTGAGTCTCTTTCTTCCTTCTCCAGAGTTTACTTCTCTGAGAGTATCTTTCTCCTCTCTCCAGGTGAGTCTACTTCTCCCTTCTCCAGCTCAGAGTATTTTTCTCCTTTCTCTCGCTCCGAGAGTCTACTTCTTCTTTTTCCAGCTCTGAGATTCTCTTTCTTCCTTCTCCAGCTCTGAGAGTTTACTTCTCCAACTGAGAGTATCTTTCTCCTTTCTCCAGGTGTGTGAGTCTACTTCTCCCTTCTCCAGCTCAGAGTTGGCTTATTGTCTCCCTTCCCCAGCTCTGAGAGTCTACTTCTCCCTTTCTCCAGCTCCAAGAGTCTACTTCTCCCTTCTCCAGTTCTGGGAAGGCTTAGTGTCTCCTTTCATCTTACTGCCTTCTTTCTTTACCCTGAGAGTCTTTCTCCCTTCTCCAGCTCCAAGAAGGCTTACTGTCTCCCTTCTCCAGCTCTAAGCGTCTCTTACTCTCCCTGGGAACCCGTTGCCAGAGAGAAGGGTGCCCACTTGCTTCCCCTCGAAACCCCAAAGGGGAACGTGGGCAGTGGGGAGAAGGGGGTGGTCCCTGCCTGCGTGCCTGGAGGCCCTCACCTGCTTCTTCTTGAGCTTGAGGATCTGCTGCTCCACCTTGGCGATCTCCCGGTCCACGCGGTCCATGCTCTGGATCAGCTCCTCCTTGGAGAGCTTGGAGGGGGAGGCGTTCTGGTCTTCCCCGCAGGACGGCCCCGAGAGCGGCGACAGAGGCACCTCATGCTTGCCCACAAAGCCCGGCTCCTTGCAAGCAACGGAAAGAGACATTCAGGCGGAGGAGAAGCAACAAAAGAAGTGCATGACTCTGACTTTATTTCTCCATTGGCAGAGAAAAAGAGAAGTATAAATATTGATAATGCTATAATAATAATAGTAATACTAAACACTAATCATTCTAATATAATCATTATCATCTAGCTATGGGGCACACCACTTTGAGTGGGAAGGTTCACGCACATTCCACACCTATGGAGAGAATTAGAAACACTGGGATGTCTATGGTGGAGGATTTGATGTGTTTCCTCCAACACAGACATCCCAGTGTTTCTGACTCTCTCCACTGGTGTGGAATTTGCATGACCCTCCCCACTACCACCCCCTTATCCCTTTCCTAAGTGAGGTATATATACTAATAATACTAATCATCATCATCCTCCAGACACCCCAGTGTTTCTGACTCTCTCCACTGGTGTGGAATTTGCCTGACCCTGCCCACTACCTCTCCCTTAACTCTTTCTCAACTGAGGCATATATACCAATAATGCTAATCATCAACCAAATATCCCGGTGTTTCTGACTCTCTCAATTGGTGTGGAATTTGCATGACCCTGCCCACTACCTCTCCCCTAACCTTTTCCTAAGTGAGGTATGTATACTAATAATGCTAATCATCATCGTCCAGCCATACCAGTGTTTCTGACTCTCTCCACTGGTGTGGAATTTGCCTGACCCTGCCCACTACCTCTCCCTTAACCTTTTCTTAACTGAGGTATATATACCAATAATGCTAATCATCATCATCCATGCATCCCAGTGTTTCTGACTCTCTCCAATGGTGTGGAATTTGCATGACCCCGCTCACTGCCTCTCCCTTAACTCTTTCCTACACAAGGTACATATACTAATAATGTTAATAATAATCATCAGCAACATCCAAATATCCCAGTGTTTCTGACTCTCTCCATTGGTGTGGAATTTGCATGATCCTGCCCATTATCTCTCCCTTAACCCTTTCTTAAGTGAGGTATATATACTAATAATGCTAATCATCATCACCCAGACATCCCAGTGTTTCTGACTCTCTCCATTGGTGTGGAATTTGCATGACCCTGCCCACTGCCTTTCCCTTAACCCTTTCCTAAGTGAGGTATAAATACTAATAATGCTAATGCCAATAATAATAATAATATCATCATCTTCCATGTGTTTTCGCTTTGGCAGAAGAAAAGTAAAGTATAACTACAAATAATGCTAATAATAATTACTAACAATGCCAACATCATCATCACCTATGTGTTTTAGCTATGCTGTTCTTATTATTAACAATAATCATCATCATCATCATCATGTATGTCAGGCCTGGGCCAACTTTGGCCCTCCCTCCGGGTGTTTGGGACTTCAACTCCCACAATTCCTAACAGCCTACCGGCTGTTAGGAATTGTGGGAGTTGAAGTCCCAAGCATCCGGAGGGAGGGCCAAAGTTGGCCCAGGCCGGGTGTAAGTGCTGAGCAGGCTGACCTTCTTCAAGTCGGAGGTCCGAAGCCCCTCCTGCAGAGCGTGAGCCAAGGGCAGGGCGGCGGCAGCAGCACTGACCCGTTGGTAATGGGCGTCGGACAAGGGGTCGAGGCGCGGACGCTTGGCCTCCAGGGCGTCATGGTCGGCGGGCGAGGGGCCGGCGTGGAACTGCGCCTCGTAGCCGGACCTCCGCTCCTGCGGCCTGGCGGAAGGAAGCAAGGAGAAGAGTGAAGTCTTGAGAAGCAAGGGAGGGATCGAATGGTGCTTTCCTCTAAGGCACAAGGAGGTTGGACTTGGTAGCCCTTCCTACTATAGGAATCTATAAACAGAAACTGAATGGCCATCTGTTGGGAGGGATCGAATGGTGCCTTCCTCTAGGGAACAAGGAGATTGGACTTGGTAGTCCTTCCTACTATAGGAATCTATAAACAGAAACTGGATGGCCATCTGCTGGGAGGGATCGAATGGTGCCTTCCTCTAAGGCACAAGGAGATTGGACTTGGTAGCCTTTCCTCCTATAGGATTCTATAAACAGAAAGGGAATGGCCATCTATTGGGAGGGATCGAATGGTGCCTTCCTCTATAGGATTCTATATATTTATTTGATCAGTCATATGACCATTTCAAAATACAAAATATAGGATTCTATAAACAGAAACTGGATGGCCATCTGCTGGGAGGGATCGAATGGTGCCTTCCTCTAAGGCACAAGGAGATTGGACTTGGTAGCCCTTCCTACTATAGGAATCTATAAACAGACACTGAATGGCCATTTGTTGGGAGGGATCGAATGGTGCCTTCCTCTAAAGCACAAGGAGGTTGGACTTGGAAGCCCTTCCTGCTATAGGATTCCATAATAATGTATTTATCTTATTTCAAAATACAAAATATAGGATTCTATAAACAGACACCGGATGGCCATCTGTTGGGAGGGATCGAATGGTGCCTTCCTCTAAAGCAAAAGGAGGTTGGAATGGGTCGCCCTTTCCTCTCTAGGATTCTATAAACAGAAGCTGGATGGCCATCTGCTGGGAGGGATCGAGTGGTGCCTTCCCTTATGGCAGAACTGGGTGAGACTGGATGGCCCTTGGGATTCCCCTCCAACTCTAGGATTCTCTAAACAGAGGCTGGATGGCCATCTGCTGGGAGGTGTCTTTCTTTAAAGCAAAAGGGGGTTGATGACCCTTCCAGTTGTAGGATTCTACAAACAGAGCCTGGATGGCCATCTGTCGGGAGGGATCAGATGGTGCCTTTCTCTAAAGCACAAGACGGCCTTGTGTGGTTCCTTCCAGATCTAGGAGCCAATGAGCCTCTGGCTAAAACCCTCAGCAGGGGGCCATCCCGAAGAGGACTTCCCCCCATGCAACCGCCCGGAGGGAATTCAGACTCCACCTGATTGTGTGAACGCCGTAAAGGGGATGCAGGACAGGGACGTACCTGTCTGCGCCAGGGTGGAACTCGGACAAGAGGGAGGGGCGCCGGCGGAGCTGCTGCTGCTGCTGGAGGAGCTGCGTGGCCTGGCTGACCTCCAGGTGCGCGGTCCGGAAGTCTGGAACGGCAAACTCCTGCCGGAAGCAGAGGGATGCCGGGTTAGGGAAGGCCTGGAAAACCCTTCGCCAGCTCGGAGAACCTACTTCTCCCTTCCCCAGTTCTGGGGCTAGTTTTCCTATCTCCAACATTGAGAGGGCTTACTGTCTCCAGCTCTGAAAGTCTCTTTCTCCTTTCTCCAGCTCTCAGAGTCTACTTCTCCCTTCCCCAGCTCTGAGAAAGCTTACTGTCCTCTTTCTCCAGCTCTCAAAAGACTGTCGTCTTACTCTTCTCTGAGAGACTACTTCTCCCATTTCCAGCTCTGAGAAGGCTTACTGTCACCCTTCTCCAGCTTTGAGAGTCCATGTCTCCTTTCTCCAGCTCTGAGAGTATACTTCTCCCTTCCCCAGCTCTGAGAAGGCTTACTGTCTTCCTTCTCCAGCTCTGAATCTCTAATTCCCCTTTTCTCCAGCTTTGAGTCTATTGTCCCTTCTCCAGTTTTGAGATGGCTTACTGTCTTCTTTTTCCAGCTCTAAGAGTCTGCTTCTCCCTTCCTCAGCTCTGAGAAGGCTTACTGTCTTCTTTCTCCAGCTCTGAGAGTCTACTTCTCCCTTCTCTAGCTCTGAGAAGGCATACTGTCTTCCTTCTCTAGCTCTGAATCTATTTCTCCACCTTTGAGTCTATTGTCCCTTCTCCAGTTTTGAGATGGCTTACTGTCTTCTTTTTCCAGCTCTGAGAGTCTGCTTCTCCATTCTCCAGCTCTAAGAAAGCTTACTGCCCTCTTTCTCCAGCTCTGAGTGTCTATTTCTCCCTTCTCCAACACTGAGGCGGCTTACAGTCTTCTTTCTCCAGCTCTGATAGTCTACTTCTCCCTTCTCCAGCTCTGAGAAGGCTTACTGTCTTCTTTCTCCAGCTCCGAGAAGACTTACTGTCTTTTTACTAGAGTCTACTTCTCCCTTCCTCAGCTTTGAAAGGCTTACTGGCTTCCTTTTCCAGCTCTGAAAATCTATTTCTCCTTTGTCTTACTGTCTTCTTTACTGATAGTCTACATCTCCCTTCCCCAGCTCTGAGAAAGCTTAATGTCATGTTACTCTACTCTTGAGAGGGTATTTCTGTGGTATAATATAATAATTGTATATTATATATTACGTGCAACATGACTAATAATATGGTAGTACAATGGTATAGTACAATATAGTAATATGTCATAATAATCTTGTGCTATGCTAATATTGTAATATATATATACGTATAAAATTAATACTAACATTATACTGTAAGAACATAATACTAATAATACAATATAGTAATATATAGTAATAATATTGCAAAATAATAATACTAATATACAAAATATAATTACTACTAATAATATATAATAATGTATAATGATAATACTGTTTTATTATTGTATATCTGTATATTTGAAGTCTCCGTATGGAGAGTTAAAGCAGGATATAAACAAATAAATTATTATGAGGTTATTATAATCAATAATAATAACAATAATATTTTATTTATACCTTGCCACCCTCTCCCAAAAGGACTCAGGGCAGATTATAAGCACAAAATGGTGCCATTACAACAATATATATGGAATTTATCATGTTACATAATGTTATTGTTATTACCAACTAATTCAAAACAGGGTACAAACACAGTCAAAACACATCCACATAAACTATATACAACAAAACAAGCATGTGCATATATATATGTATATATATATATACACACACACACACATATACATATAATATTTATTTATTTGACCAGTCATATGACCATTTCAAACATATACATATATATGTGTATCTCATACTATAAAATACAAAGTTTGGGGACCCCAAGAGGCTATCTAGTCCAACCCCTATTACATTTCTTAAGTTTGCTGAACTCTAGAAAGGGACCTCAAAGGATATCTAGTCCAACGCCTTTCATATTTCTAGGCCTCTCCAACCACTTAAGGGACTTCAAGGGTCTAATATAATAATAATAATAATAATAATAATAATAATAATAATATCAATAATAATAATAGTAATAATAATAACAGTAACAACATTGGAATTTTAGAGGCATTTTAATTTAATTTTAATTACCTTTTAAGATAATGGGCATGGTTTTATGCTTGCTTTAATGCATGGTTATGTTACTAGGAGTCCCCAGTGGTGCAGCGGGTTAAACCACTGAGTTGCTGAACTTCCTGACCGAAAGGTCGGCAGTTCAAATCCGGAAAGCAGGTGAGCTCCTGCTGTTAGCCCCAGCTCCTACCAACCTAGCAGTTCGAAAACATGCAAATGTGAATAGATCAACAGGTACCGCTCAGGCGGGAAGGTAACGGTGCTCCATGCAGTCATAGAAATTCCCAAAATAAATAATATTAATTATTATTCTTAATTATTATTAATTAATAAAAACAATATGTGCCCTCCATCCCTACACTACCATGGATTTCCATCCCTGCTGACCTGTTGATGCCGCCCGCCGGGGAAGGTGTACTGGACCGAGTGGGTGGGGTAGCGGCCCTGCTCCGCGCTGAAGGCCCCTTGGCTGGTGGGGTAGCCCGAACTGGACATTCTCGGGTCAGGACGAGGGACGACAAGGATGAAGACGATGAGGGTCTTCGCAGGGCGGCGGGATCACGACGGGGGAGCTTCCGGTCTGGTGGGAAAGAAGAGAAACAGAGAGGTGAGAAGAATCCGTTCCGAGGCGAACTCCACACAGTGTTGCTCTCGGACATTCGACATCTTGACTCCATGGACTCATAAAGAACACACACACACCTCACAACAGGCCTTCCTGGATTTGGGCCAGCCGGCTGCCTGCACAACTGCAAAAGCCACCTGCTATTTACGCCTGCGCCCCAAAGAGTATCTATATTAGCGTACCAGACTCCATACTTTTCTATACACTGTTCTGCAATATTTCTGAGATATCGACGTTTGTATATATCTGGCACTGCCCCGGTTGGGACCATTGCCTACCTGCTTTTTCCTTTCTCCAGCTCTGAGAAGGCCTACATTCCCTTCCTCTATCACCGACAAGGCCTGCTTTCTGCTTTCTCCAGCTGAGGTCTACTTTCCCCCTTCACTAGTTCTGAAAAAGGCCTACGTTCCCACTTTCCAGCTCTAAGAAGGCCTGATTTCTCCCTTTGAAATCTGTGAAAATGCCTACAATCCCTTTTCCCATCCCTGAGAAAGCCTCCACTAGCTCTGAAAAGGGCCTACGTTCCCACTCTCCAGCTCTAAGGAGAACACCTACATTCCATTTCTCTATCCCTGAGAAGGCCCGCTTTCCCACTTCTCCAGCTCTGAGGAGATGGTTTGCATTCCCTTTCCCCATCCCTGATTAGGCCTGCTTTCTCCTTTCTCCATCTCAGAGGCCTGCTTTCTCCAGCTCTGAGAGGAAGGACAACATTCCCTTTCTCCATCCCTGAGAAGGCCAACTTTCCCACTTCTCCAGTTCTGAGGAGGAGGCCTACATTCCCTTTCCCCCTCCCTGAGAAGGCCTGCTTTCCCACTTCTCCAGCTGTAAGGAGGCCTACATTCCCTTTCTCTATCCCTGAGAAGGCCTGCTTTCTCCAACTCTGAGGGGAAGGACTACATTCCCTTTCTCCATCCCTGAAAACGCTTTCCCACTTCTCCAGCTCTGAGAAGGACTACATTTCCTTTCCCCCTCCCTGAGGCCTGCTTTCCCACTTCTCCATCTGTAATTAGAAGCCTACATTCTCTTTCTCCATTCCTGAGAATGCCTGCTTTCTCACTTCTCCAGCTCTGAGGAAAAGGACTACATTCCTTTGCTCCATCCCTGAGAAGGTCTGCTTTCACCTCACTCCAGCTCTAAGAAGAAGGTCTAATTTCTCCTTTCTCCAGCTCTGGGAGGGCCACTTTTATAGTATCTCCATGGCCGCTTCCTTCCATCCCTTCATAGACATGCTACTGACATCACAGAGGGCCACTTCCCCTCGCAACAGCCCATCCGGTGACATCACAGAGGCCTGCTTCACCTAGCAAAAGCCTTTTTGGAACAAGTAGGGGATTCTGGGAGCCATTCCCCACCCAAAGTATAGATATGATGGAAGCTTTATGATCAACCAGAACTTCCCAGAAGACATCCCAGCCCAGTTTCACCATGGCCTCACCACAAGTTCTTTCCAGTGGGACCATGAAGCCTTTATATGGAAAGATGGGAGTAGCCATGGGGAGCATTCTCAGCTTAGTCATAGCTAATGTCTACATGGAACACTTTGAGAAACAACAGCAAAAAAGGCCATGATATGGTTCAGATATGTGGACACCTTCACCATTTGGAGCCATGGAGGAGAAGAACTCCACAAGTTCTCAGACCACCTCAACAGCATCCACCCAAGCATCCGAATGGAGAAGAAGAACTTCGCAAGTTCCTGGACCGCCTGCCTCAACAGCATCCACTCAAACATCCAAATGGAGAAGAAGAACTCTCCAAGTTCCTGGAGAATCTTAGCAGCATCCACCCAACCATCCAAATGGAGAAGAACAACTTCGCAAGTTCCTGGACCACCTCAACAGCATCCACCCAAGCATCCAAATGGAGAAGAAGAACTCTGCAAGTTCCTGGAGCACCTCAACAGCATCCACCCAAGCATCCAAATGGAGAAGAAGAACTCTGCAAGTTCCTGGACCACCTCAACAGCATCCACCCAAGCATCCAAATGGAAAAGAAGAACTCTGCAAGTTCCTGGACCGCCTCAACAGCATCCACTCAAACATCCAAATGGAGAAGAAGAACTCTCCAAGTTCCTGGAGCATCTTAGCAGCATACATCCAAGCATCCAAATGGAGAAGAACTCCGCAAATTCCTGGACCATCTCAGCAGCATCCACCCAAACCTCCAAATATAGGAGAAGAACTCCAGAAGTTCCCAGACCACCTCAACAGCATCCACCCAAGCATCCAAATGGAGAAGAAGAACTCTACAAGTTCCTGGACCGCCTCAACAGCATCCACCCCAACATCCAAATGGAGAAGAACTCCACAAGTTCCTGGACCACTTCAACAGCATCCACCCAAATATCCAATTCACCACGGAAAAAGAAAATGAAGGACAACTGCCATTTCTAGATGTCCTGTTCATCTGCAAAACAACCAACAATTGGGCACAACAATCTACAGAAAACCTACACACATGGATAGATACCTATACAAATATTCCAACCATCACCCAAGTCAACAAAGAAGCACAACAAAAGCCCTGGCAGACCATGCAAAAGGAATCTAGAAGCCCACCTCCTCCAAGGGGAATAGAACCACCCAAACTGGGCTCTCCAGGCCAATGGAGACTCCACCACAGGGCATCAGAAGAGCTTCAAGGCCAAGAACAAGCCATGAGAGTCAAGAGAAAGACCCATCCAGGGGGAAAGTGTCCTTACCAGACATCAAGGGAACCACTGACCGCAGAGGGAAGCCGATGAGGAAACACAACCTAGAAACTATCTACAGACCCATTAAGAAAATACAACAAATGCTACATTAATAATAATAATAATAATCCATTTTCCTTTCCAAGAGGAGACTCAAAGATGATAATGATGATGATGATAATAATAAGTCTTTGAGTCTCCTTTAAGAGACGAAAGCAGGACATTATTATTATTATCATCTGAGTCTCCTCTTGGAAAGGAAAATGATTATTATTATTATTAATTCATTTTCCTTTCCAAGAGGAGACTCAAAGATGATGATGATAATAATGTCCTGCTTTCGTCTCTTAAAGGAGACTCAAAGACTATTATCATTATTATTATTATCATTATCATCTTTGAGTCCTTATTATCGGGGGGGGGGGGGGACACAAAAAAAAAAAAAAAGAAAAAAAAAAAAAAAGAAAGGAAAATGGATTATTATTATTATTAGTTCATTTTTCCTTTCCAAGAGGAGACTCAAAGATGATAATGACGATGATGATGATAATAGTAATAATAATAATAATGTCCTGCTTTCGTCTCTTAAAGGAGACTCAAAGACTATTGGTATTATTATTATTATTATCATCATTATCATCTTTGAGTCTCCTCTTAGAAAGGAAAATTGATTATTATTATTATTATTAATAATTCATTTTCTTTTCCAAGCGGAGACTCAAAGATGATAATGATGATGATAATAATAATAATAATGTCCTGCTTTCATCTCCTAAAGGAGACTCAAATACTATTATTATTATTATTATTATTATTATTGTACATCACACAGTCCTAGACACTTGGGAAGTGTTTGACTGGTGATTTTGTGATACGAAATCCAGCATATATATCTCGTTTGCTGTGACATACTGTGTTTTTGTGTCAGTAAAATAAAATAATAATAATAATAATAATAATAATAATAATAATAGAAGGAGACAGAAGGCCTGATTCTTGCAGCCCAGGAGCAATCCATCAGGACAAATGCCATTAAGGCCAGGATCGAAAAATCAGCGGATGACCCAAAATGCAGACTGTGCAAGGAAGCGGATGAAACCATGGACCATCTCCTCAGCTGCTGCAAGAAAATCGCACAGACGGACTACAAACAGAAGCACAACTCTGTGGCCCAGATGATTCACTGGAACTTATGTCACAAGGACCACCTGCCAGCAGCAAAGAATTGGTGGGATCATAAACCCATAAAGGTTGTGGAAAATGAACACGCAAAAGTACTGTGGGACTTTCGAATCCAGACTGACAAAGTTTTGGAACACAATACACCAGACATCACGATTGTGGAAAAGAAAAAAGTCTGGATTATTGATGTCGCCATTCCAGGTGACAGTCACGCATTGAGGAAAAACAACAGGAAAAACTCAGCCGCTATCAAGACCTCAAAATCGAACTGCAAAGGCTCTGAATGCATAAACCAGTACAGGTGGTCCCAGTGGTCATTGGCGCACTGGGTGCCGTGCCAAAAGATCTCAGCCGGCATTTAGAAACAATAAACATTGACAAAATCATGATCTGTCAACTGCAAAAGGCCACCTGACTTGGATCTGCACATATCATTCGAAAATACATCACACAGGCCTAGACGCTTGGGAAGTGTTCGAGTTGTGATTTTGTGATACGAAATCCAGCATAGAGATCTCGCTTGCTGTGACATACTGTGTTTTTGTGTCAGTAAAATAATAGTAATAATAATATCTCACTTTACTCTCCTAGACAAGACTCAAAGGCAATAGCAATAATAATTGTTGTTGTTGTTTATTTATTCAGTTGCTTCTGACTCTTCGTGACCTTCTGGACCAGCCCACGCCAGAGCTCCCTGTCGGCCGTGGCCATCCCCAGCTCCTTCAGAGCCAAGCCAGTCACTTCAAGGATACCATCCATCCATCTTGCCCTTGGTCAGCCCCTCTTTCTTTTTTCCTTCCATTTTCCCAAGCATCATTGTCTTCAATAATAATAATAATTAATAATAATAATAATCCATTTTCATTTCCTAGAGGAGACTCATAGACCATAATAATTTCTTGTTGTTGTTCATTCGTTCAGTCGTTTCTGACTCTTCGTGACCTCATGGACCAGCCCACACCAGAGCTCCCTGTCAGCCGTCACCACCCCCAGCTCCTTCAAGGACCATAATAATAATAGTAGTAGTAGTAATAATATCTCACTTTATGCTCCTAGACAAGATTCAAAATAATAATAGTAAAATATATTAAAATAATAATAGTAAAATATATTAAACTAATAATAGTAAAATATAATGCAAAAATAATGAAATATAATTCTAAAATAATGCAAAATAACAATGAAATATAGCAAAATAATAATAGTAAAATATAATGCATAAATAATAAAATATAATTACAAAATAATGCTCCTAGACAAGACTCAAAGGCAATAGAATAATATCCCACTTTCCTTTCCAAGAGAAGACTCAAAGAAAATACTACTATTACTACTACTACTACTACTACTACTAATAATAATAATAATAATAATAATAATAACAACTTTATTTTTATACCCCACCTCCATCCTCCATCTCCCCAAAGGGACTCGGGGCAGCTTACATAGGGACATGCCCAACAAAACAGGTTAAAATAAGCATTGGAAAACAAGCAATATCAAATATTAATAAACATAAGATCAAACAACATTACAAAATGATTAAAAGCTATCATGGCTGAGCAAATAAAGTGCTGGGTTCGGTTCATAATTACGAAGTGCAATTAATCCTAAGAAGAGCCAGAGAAAGTGCGAAAATAATCCACTTTCCTCTTCCAAGAGGAGACTCAAAGACGACAATAATAATAAATAAATAATCTACTTTCCTTTCCAAGAGGAGACTCAAAAACAACAACAATAATATCCCAGTTTCCTTTCCAAGAGGATACTCAAAGACAAAAACATCAACAACAACAATAATACACATTGCTTTCCTAGAGGCAATAGCAATAATAATAATAATAATAATAATAATAATAATAATAATATCCGGCTTTCCTCTTCTAAAGGAGGCTCAAAGGCAATAACAACAAGAAGAATATCCCACTTTCCTCTCCTAGATGGGACCCAAAGACACCGATAATAATAATAATGAAATAATAACGTCAGATAGTTCCACGGCAAACATGAAAAGAAATCACAAATATTTAACAATATTAATATTATCAATAATAATTGATATTATTGATATTATTAACAGCCATTATTAATAATTATATCTAAATCATAAATACTAACATACTAATTATAATATCATATTATACGAATATTAAATAATAATAAAATACAATAATATTATATAATAATATATTAATACAACATAATATGTATCCCTTTATCTCATTGGTCGTTAATCCATCCTTTGGGCTTCACAAAAAATATACCATTTGTTAATATATATGATCCTGTACTATTATTTTCCATTTCTGCCCAAATAGCTTAAATTAATTTAAAATGTAATTTATAAAATACTAAAATACTGTAATATATATTATAACAATATATAATATGAAACAAATTAATACTATATTATAATACTATATTATAATATAAAGTTAAATAATAAAAGATAAAGTATATAATACAAAATAATATGTATTATAATAATACAATTATAACATAATCATATGAAGCTAAAATATAATAAAATATAATATACTAATGCAATTATAATACATTATTATTAAATAATATAGGAAAAAATAATAAAATCAAACAACATAACTCTTATAATATAATAATTATAATATAATAAAATATAATAATGCAAAATGTATAATATGATATGAAATAGCATAGAGCAATATATATGAAATAGTATAAAACAAAACAATGCTAGTAAAATATAATACAAAATAATAAAATAATTTAGAGTAACAAAATAATGCAAAATTAGAAGAATATTATATATTGCAAAATAACAATAGTAAAATATAATGTAAAATAATAACAATAATGTAAAATAATAATGCAATATAATACAAAATAATAGTAAAATATAGTAATAAATGCAAAATAATTAAAATAGAGTAATAAAATGCCAAAGAATACAATTCAAAATCATAGTAAAATATAGGAATAAAATGCAAAGTAATTAAAATAAGAGTAATAAAATGCCAAAGAGTAATACAATATAATTCAAAATCATAGTAAAATATAGTAATAAAATGCAAAATAATTAAAATAAGAGTAACAAAATGCTAAAGAGTAATACAATGTAATTCAAAATAATAGTAAGATATAGTAATAAAATGCATACCAATTAAAATAAGAGTAATAAAATGCCAAAGAATATTACAATTTAATGCAAAATAAATGTTAATAACATAGTAATAATATGGAAAATAATAATACAATATATTGCAAAATAATAATAGTAAAATATAGTAAAATAATAATAATAATAAAATATAATGCAAAAATAATTAAATATAATTATAAAATGCAAAAAAACAATAAAAGATAGTAAAATAAGAACAGTAAAATATAATGCAAAAATAATAAATATAATTACACAATGCAAAATAACAATAAATAATAGTAAAATATAATGCAAAAATGATAAAATATAATGATAAAATAATGCAAAATAACAATAAAATATAGTAAAATAAGTGTAATATATATTGCAAAAATGATAAAATGTAATTACAAAAAAATGCAAAATAACAATAAAATATAGTAAGATAATAATAGTAAAATATAATGTAAAATGATAAAATATAATGATAAAATAATGCAAAACAACAATAAAATATAGTAAAATAATAATAGGAAATATAGTAAGATAATAATAGTAAAATATAATGCAAAAATAATACAATATAATGATAAAATAATGCAAAATAACAATAAAATATAGTAAGACAATAATAGTAAAATATAATGCCAAAATAACAAATAACAAAATATAATGATAAAATAATGCAAAATAACAATAAAATAATAGTAAAATATAATGCAAAAATGATAAAATATAATTAAAAATAATGCAAAATAACAATAAAATAATAATAGTAAAATAACAACGAAATATAGTAAAATTATAATAGTAAAATATAATGCAAAAATAATGAAATATAATTAAAAATAATGCAAAATAACAATAAATAATAATAGTAAAATATAATACAAAAATGATAAAATATAATTTTAAAATAATGCAAAATAACAATAACATATATTAAAATAATAATAGTAAAATATAATGCAAAAATAATAAAATATAATGATAAAATAATGCAAAAAACAATAAAATAATAATAGTAAAATATAATGCAAAAATAACAAAATATAATGATAAAATAATGCAAAAATGATAAAATATAATTCTAAAATAATGCAAAATAACAATGAAATACAGTAAAATAATAACAGTAAAATATAATGCAAAAATAATGAAATATAATTATACAATAATGCCAAATATTAGTAAACTATAGTATTATAATGCAGAATAAAATGTGTAATAATATAATATGAAGTAATAATGATACTAATGGTGATATAGAGCTTTCCAGGGGCCTCTCTCTTTCCCTCCCTGGAGACTCACCTGAGGAGATCCAAGAGGAGGAAGAGCAGGAAGAGCGCCTCCTCCCTCCTTGCTGCTCCCGCCGCCATCTTGGCTCTTCCCTTCCCCGGCTCCCCTCCCTCCTCCCCTTCTTTCTTCCTTCCTTACTCCCTGGCGAGGCCCCGCCCCTGGCCCCGCCCACAGTCCTGGCAGCTACATACAATAACACATCTCTTCCTCCCAAACCATAACATACATACATCCACCAATTGCCGTTATAAGATAAAAAAAAATCTCAACCCTTACATTGATAATTAGACAAAATAAATAGAAATTAACCTTGAAGTAATTGACAATACTGCAATACATTATATTATAATAATATAATAAGTTAGTAACAATCTAATAACATAACAATACTCATTAACTATATAATAACATATATAATAAAATAATTCATAATTATAATTATATATAATTATATAATTAGTCAAGGAGCGTGCACTACATATCTGCCAGGACGCCGCTTTTTTTTCTCCCCTCAGGAAGAGAAGACTCCCGCGCTTTGACCAATGAGAGAGCGAGGCAAAAGGGGGCGTGGCCTCCAAAGCACCATCCAATGGGAGAAAATGGCGGAGGCAAGGGAAAGGGAGGGGGGAGGAGTGAGGGAGCGAGGCAAAAGGGGGCGTGGCCTCCAAAGCACCATCCAATGGGAGAAGATGGCGGAGGCAAGGGAAAGGGAGGGGGGAGGAGTGAGGGAGCGAGGCAAAAGGGGGCGTGGCCTACAAAGCACCAACCAATGGGAGAAGATGGCGGAGGCAAGGGAAAGGGAGGGGGGAGGAGTGAGGGAGCGAGGCAAAAGGGGGCGTGGCCTACAAAGCACCAACCAATGGGAGAAGATTGCGGAGGCAAGGGAAAGGGAGGGGGGAGGAGGGGGAACACAGAGCTAGGAAAATAAGAAGGGGGCGTGGCCTCGCCCGCAGTAGCCCGCGCGTCGTCGCCGCCGCGTGCCCCGCCCCGTGCGCGCCGTCCCGCGCGAGCGACCGTCGGCCGTGTCCCGACGTCCCCGCGCCGCCGCGGCGACGTGTCGCGGCGTGCGCCCCGGCGCCCGCGTCGCGTGCGCGGCGCGTTGCGTGCGCGTGCGCGGCGCCTGTCCCGGCGCGCCGCTCGCCTCCCCGGCTCCCGTCGCGTCCGCCGCGGTCCCGCGCGCGGTCGCGCCCCCGTGGCCGCTTGCGTGGCCAGCCGCGCCGCGTCCGCGCCGTGCGCGCGCGCCGCCGGGGGCCTCCCAAAGCACCAACCAATGGGAGAAGATTGCGGAGGCAAGGGAAAGGGAGGGGGGAGGAGTGAGGGAGCGAGGCAAAAGGGGGCGTGGCCTCAAAAGCACCAACCAATGGTAGAAGATTGCGAAAACAAGGAAAGGGAGGGGGAGGAGGAGGAACATAGAGGTAGGAAAAGTGAAGAGCTCCGCTTCTCAAACATGGACACATTCAGAATATCAGGCATTCGACTTAAAAGGAGAGAGGAGTAGGAGGAACACAGAGCTCGGAAAAGGAAAGAGCTCCGCTTCTTAAACATGGACACATTCAGACTAACAGACATTCAACTTAATTATATGAATATTTATTGTAAACATCAATATAAACAAACATAATCAAACATGATAAACATGGACACATCCAGACTAACAGACATTCAACTTAATTATATGAATATTTATTGTAAACATAAACAAACATAATCAAACATGATAAACATGGACACATCCAGAATAACAGACATTCAACTTGATTATATGAACAACACTTAATATTTATTATAAACATCAGTACAAACATACATAAATGTCATCAATACAAACATAATATCATCAATACAAACAAACATACATATATATATATTGTATATATATTTTATGTATATAGATATATTATGTTCAATTATATATATATATATATATATATATAATTGAACATAAAATAAATAAGCAAACATAACATAAACATAAATGTCATTGATATAAACATACATAAATATAAAAAATATGGACACATCCAGAATAACAGACATTCAACTTAAATTATATGAACAACACTTAATAATTATTGTAAACATCAATATAAACAAACATAATATCATAAATACAAACATACATAAATATAATTAAATATATATATATAATTGAACATAAAATAAATAAGCATAAATAATATAAACATAATGTCATTGATATCAACATACATAAATATAAATAAACATAAATCTAAATATAACATTAATACAAACAATGTCATTGTCTTTTTATGTAAAACAATGGAAAAAAGTTGTGTATCTGTTTTTCTTTCTAAGCTCCTACTTCTGAGGAGCGAGTTATATTCTCAATAAAGATATATATTAAAAAAAACATACAATATAAAACAAAAACATAGGCATAAACTGTTAATACAACATATACATTAAAATAAATTTAAAACCAGTTCCGCTCTCTTCTTCATGCAAGGTAAGCTGCCAGGGGCAAAGATTTCAAAAAGGGGCCTGGACTATTTGGAATGGGCTAAGCCAAGACTAGTGCAAGGAGAAGGGGAAAATGGGATTAGCTGAATGCTACAGTTCAAGGATCGGTCTCAGCAATAGCCCTACTAGGGGACCAGGGCCACTCAATTCCAGTTCAAGGATCGGTCTCAGCAATAGCCCTACTAGGGGACCAGGGCCACTCAATTCCAGGGCCAATTAAAGGACTATAAAAAGGGTCTGGGATGGAAGAAAAGTTTCCTTCAGATGACAGGGAACTGGGGAATGGATGGTGTACAAGGCCAAGTCCTAACTGTTGGACCAAGGGTTTGATACTGGAGACTAGTCATTGAAGGCCTGATGAAACCACCAAGTCCAAGTTCTTACAGAAGGAGGTGAGGGATGGGACCAGGAAATCAGAAGACATTTACTTCTTGGAAGGAGAGCAATGACCAATCTCAATAAAATAGTGAAGAGTACATTGAACTTCCGAGCAGTCTTCAAAGGCAACCCCACGTAGAGAGCGTTGCAGTAGTCTAAACGGGATGTAACCAGAGCGTGGACTACCGTGGCCAAGTCAGACTTCCCAAGGTACGGGCACAGCTGGCGCACGAGCCTAAGCTGTGCAAATGCTCCCCTGGTCACCGCCGAAACCTGGGGTTCCAGGCTCAGCGATGAGTCCAGGGTCACACCCAAGCTGCGAACCTGCGTCTTCAGGGGAGTGCGGCCCCATCCAACACAGGCTGTAACCCTATGCCCTGTTCGGCCTTGCGACTGACCAGGAGTACCTCTGTCTTGTCTGGATTCAATTTCAATTTGTTCGCCCTCATCCAGACCGTCACAGCGGCCAAGCACCGGTTCATATATATATAAACACACCAGTTTATATATATATAAACACACACACACCTTGGCTATATATATATATATATATGAATCACCATATTGAACCAGAGAGAGCAAAAGAACTTGAACAGAGAGTCCAGAGACCTATTGCTTTTAATGCGCCGGAACCATTGTTTCAGGACCATTGTTTCCCACCGGACGGTTCTTGACACTTCCGGCTGTTTTGCTTCGGCCGGCATAATGGCGGCGCACGTCTTGCTCGTGTTGCTTCTCCCTGTCGTTTCGGTCTGGCTGGTTTCCTGCTGGTGGCTGCGCCGCTACTGCTTCTACAGACGGCGGACGTTTTTCGCCGACGGACTGCCCGCGACGCTCTTCGTGACGGCGCATCCTGATGACGAAGCCATGTTCTTCGCGCCAGCCATCCTCGGATTGGCTCCCGCCCCGCGGTGGCTGCTCTGCCTCTCCTCAGGTGAGGGTTGCTTAGCAACAGTGACGTCAGCCGCTTAGCAACGCTCGCTCCTCCCTCCCATTGGCTCTCGCCTATTTTTTTTTTCCTTTGCGCCGCGGTGAGCCATTTTGTGAGGAAGAGAGTCGCGTTAGGGGGTGCGCGTGACGTCAGCGGACGCCATCTTTTTTTTAAAGAAATATAATGCAAAATAAAATACAAAATAAATATAATAAAAAATAAATATATTAAAATATTAAATATAATAATATGTAAAATAATAACATATCATATATGTTAATAATACTAAAGTATTATTTATTATTATATTATTTATATAGTATATATAATAATATATAAAATAATATATGATATATGTTAATAATACTAAAATATTATTTATTGTTATATTATTAATATATTATAAATAATAATATATAAAATAATAACATATCATATATGTTAATACTAAAATATTATTTATTATATTATTTATATATTATAAATAATAATATATAAAATAATAATATATGATATATGTTAATACTAAAATATTTATTGTGATATTATTAATATATTATAATATATTTATTATCATTATTACATTATTTTTCCTCTATTATTCTTACTCTGTTATATTATTATATTTATTATATTATTATTTCCTATATTATTAATTTTCAAATTATATTATTATATTAATATTACTCTTTCCTGTATTATTACTAATTTTCATATTATGTTATTATATTTATTATATTTATATTGTCATTGTTTCCCATTTTGTTCTTGTTATATTATTATATTATTAATATTTTTATATTTATTACATTATAATTATTTCCTACAATATTATTATATTATATTATTATATTTATGCTATCATTATTTCCTATATTATTAATTTTAATATTATATTAATATTATTGTTTCCTGTATTACTAATTTTCATATGTTACTATATTTATTATATTTATTATATTTATATTATCATTATTTCCTAGATTATTATTTCATATTATATTATTATATTTATATTGTCATTGTTTCCCATTTTGTTCTTACTTGTTATATTATTATATTATTAATATATTTATATTTATTACATTAAAGTTATTTTCTATATTATTATATTATATTATATTTATACTATCATTATTTCCTATATTATTAATTTTAATATTATATTATATTATACTTTCCTGTATTATTACTAATTTTCATATTATGTTGTTATATTTATTATATTTATTTTATAATTATTTCCTATATTATTATTAACTTTCATATTATATTCTTATATTTATATTGTCATTGTTCTATGTTATTATTATAGTATATTATTATATTTATACTATCATTATTTCCTATATTATTATTAATTTTCATATTATATTATTAATATTGTTATTTCCTATATTATAATTGTTATATTATATTATAATATTTATTATATGTATATTATAATTATTTCCTATATTGTTATTAATGCTATATAATTATTTCCTATATTATTAGTAATTTTCATATTGTATTATTACATTTATACTAGTAATTTTCATATTATATTATAATTTATTATATTTATATTATTTCCTATATTATTAATTGTTATGTTATTAATATGTTTATTATATCTATTACATCATTATTATTTATTATTGATATTTCCTATATTATTATTATTATTTATATTATTAATATATTTATTATTCTATTACATCATCATTATTTATTATTGGCATTTCCTATATTATTTCATATTATTATATTATTTTCCTATATTATTTCATATTATTATGATATTATAAATATATATATTATATTTCTTGCATTATTACATTATTATTGTAATGTGAAATATCTCTTGCGATACATAGGAAACTATTACAACAAAGGGGAAATCCGCAAGAAGGAGCTCCTAGATAGCTGCGCAGTGCTGGGAATCCCACCTTCCAAAGTGACCCTCATCGATCACAGGTATTTTCCCCTGGATATTATTATTATTATTATTCTGACACAAAAGCACAGTATGTCACAGCAAATGAGATCTATATGCTGGATTTCGTATCACAAAATCACAAGTTGAACACTTCCCAAGCGTCTAGGACTGTATGATGTATTTTCGAATGATGCGCGCAGATCCAAGTCAGGTGGCCTTTTGCAGTTGACAGATCGTGATTTTGTCGATGTTTATTGTTTCCAAATGCCGGCTAAGATCTTTTGGCATGGCTCCCAGTGCGCCAATGGCCACTGGAACCACCTGTACTGGTTCATGCCAGAGCCTTTGCAGTTCGATTTCGAGGTCTTGATAGCGGCTGAGTTTTTCCTGTTGTTTTTCCTCAATGCGACTGTCACCTGGAATGGCGACATCAATAATCCAGACTTTTTCCTTTTCCACAATCGTGATGTTTGGCATATTGTGTTCCARAACTTTGCCAGTCTGGATTCGAAAGTCCCACAGTATTTTTGCGTGTTCATTTTCCACTACCTTTGCAGATTTATGATTATTATTTATTGGTGTCTTTGGCTCTCCTCTAGGAGAGGAAAGCCAGATATGATGGTGATGATGATGATGATTAATAATAATAATAATAATTGGTGTCTTTGATTCTCCTCCAGGATAGGAAAGCCGGATATTATTGTTGTTGTTGTTGTCTTTGAATCTCCTTTTGGAGAGGAAAATGAGATATTATTACCATTATTATTGTTATTATTGATATCTTTGAGTCTCCTCTAGAAGAAAACAGGATGTTATTATTATTTTCATCYTCATCATCATTGTTTTTGAGTCTCCTCTAGGAGAGAAAATTGGGATATACTTGTTGTTGTTGTTGTTGTTGTTGTTGCTGTTGTCTGTGAATCTCCTCTAGGAGCAAAAAGTGGGGTATGATTATGATTATGATTATTGGTGTCTTTAAGTCTCCTCTAGGAGAGGAAAGTGAGATATTATGATTGTTATTATTATTATTATTATTAATAATAATAATAATAATAATAATAATAATAAGTCACTTTGAGTGTCCTCCAGGATAGGAAAGCTGGATATTATTATTATTATTATTATTATTATTATTATTATTATTATTATTATGTCTTTGAATCTCCTGTTGGAGAGGAAAGTGTGATATTATTATCATTATTATTGATATTATTGATATCTTTGAGTCTCCTCTAGAAGAAAACAGGATGTTATTGTTATTATCCTCATCATCCTCATCATCATTGTCTCTAGGAGAGGATGTTCTTGTTTTTGCTGTTGTCTATTAATCTCTAAGAGCAAAAAGTGGGGTATTATTATTATTATTATTATTATTATTGGTTTCTTTGAGTCTCCTCTAGCGAGATATTCTTGTTGTTGTTGTTGTTGTTGCCACATTGGTTGAGACTCTCTGAGATAATTAATGAAAAACTATGGCAAGATGTGCTAATTGCCGGATGATGTCTCCCCGCAAAGACAGAGTTTGTGCAGCTTCATCAACTTTTCTTTTTGTGATAGAGCCAATGAGGAAATGACATTGATAACCCGAGAAGAAGGACGATTTTTCCTTCTGGGGTTACCTGCGAACATGGGTGAGGCCTGGCTCCTCTTTGCGGAGGGATTGCATAATGTTTGCGCTCAAAGCAAAGGCAGGCAAAAGGTCAGGCTTGGCTTGGCTGGCTTGCTCTTTTATTATATTATTGTTATTATTATTATTATTATTATTATTATTATTATTATTATTATTTGACTTCTACGGGTTCAATTAGAACATCTCTCTTTGCCTTCAACCAAAAGCAGAGGTGGAAATAAATACATTATTATTATTATTATTATTATTATTATTATTATTATTATCTGACATTTGTGGATTCAATAATTACATGTTGTCTCTCGGCCTCAAACCAAAAGAAGAGGTGGGAAGTAAATACAATATATTATTATTAGTAGTATTAGTATTATTATTATGATCATCATCATCATCTGACTTTTGTGGATTCAATAAAAATATGCCTCAAATCAAAAGGAGAGGTGGGAAATAAATACAATATTATTTTTATTACTATTATTATTATTTGATTTTTCTTGGATTCAGTTACAACGTCTCTCAGCTACAAAGGAGAGGAGGAAATAATATTATTATGATTATGATGATGATGATTATTATTATTTATCTTTTGGTGGATGCAATAAGAATGTGTCATCTCTAGGCTTTAACCAAAAAGGAGAGGTGAAAAATAAATACATTATTATTATTATTACTGTCATCATCATCATCGTCTGACTTCTGCGGATTCAATTACAAACATCTTTTGGCCTCGAACCAAAAAGGAGAGGAGGAAATAAAATACATTATTATTATTATTATTATTATTATTATTATTATTATTATTATTATTATTGCGGAATCAAAACGTCTCTTGGCATCAAACCAAGAAGGAGGAAATAAAACATTATTATTATTATTAATATTCTTTTGCGGAATCAGTTAGAACATCTCTCAGCATCAAACCAAAAAGGAGAGGAGGAAATAAATACATTATTATTATTATTATTATTATTATTATTATTATTATTATTATACTTTTGTGGAATCAATTAGAATGTCTCTCGACCTCAAAACAAAAGGAGAGGTGGATAATAAATTATCATCATAATTTTTTTGGTCCTCTGGTGCTATCTATGGTCAGCATCCAGCGAAAATTGTGTGTGTATATGTGTGTGTGTGTATTTATTTATATACTGTAGAAGATCCCTTTCTACTGTGTGTGATGGAATAAAACGAGATGCAGGCTGCCCCTTTGCCCTTCCTTCCAACTTCCGTTCCCAGCATCACCGTGGCATCTGGAACTGAGAAGTATTATGGTTTCTCATGAGAAGATGTTTCCACATCTTCCTCTTTTGTTTTGTTTTTCCATCTTTTTGCAGAGATCTCCCCGACAATCCTTCCGTCGAATGGGACATCGCTCTGGTCTCTGCCCTGATCCTGGAGCAAATCGAAGCACACCGCATTGCCCTGGTAAGGAAACTCAGGATACTTTAGCATTATATATATTTTTAAATGTAAGCCAGGTTGTGTTTTTCTTGAGACCAAGAACTTTCTGACCATGAGAAGAAGAGCTCTTCAACAGTGGAACTCTCTGCCTCTTTGGAGTCTGGTAGAAGCACCTTTGAAACAGAAGCTGGGTGGCCATCTGTCGGGGCTGCTTTGATTGTGCTTTTCCTGCATGATAAAGGCAGAAGAGGGTTGGACTAGATGGCCCTTGGAGATCCAACTCTTCTTGCCTCCCTGACCTTTCCTCCATATCTTCAGGGCTTGGCCTCACGTCAGTCGAAGCAAAACCGGACTGGCGAGAAAGAAGAAGGAAGTGCTTTGGTTTCCTCTTTCTTTTCTTGTTGTGGCCCGTGCCAATTTCCAGCCTGTGGCTGCCACCGTCTGGTGCACAGTCGACACAATTATTGTATGCTGGTTTCCCTTGAATTAAATGCTTTGACTTTGAACTTTTGATGTATGCCAGGGGACTTGATGGGATCCCCATAAAAAGTGACAGAAATCACAGTGTTTCCCAAAGTTTCCATTCCTCTCCAAACTCATGCTTCTTGCCTGATACATATATTTCTTTGGAATGTATATTCTGCTGAACTTCGAAGTTCGATGTACACCAGTGGACCTGACGGGATCCCCATAATTTACAGTTTATTTATTTATTTACTGTATTTGTGTACCGCTTTTCTCACCCTGAGGGAGACTCAAAGCGTGACAGAAATCGCGTGTTTCCCAGTTTCCACTCCTCTCCAAACCCATGCTTCTTGCCTTATATATATATATATATATATACATATTTGAAATGTATAGTCTGCTGGACTTGAAAGTTCAACATACACCAGGGGACCTGATGGGATCCCCATAAAGAGTGACGGAGATCGCTGTTTACCAAAGCTTCCACTCCTCTCTGAACTCATGCCTCTTGCCTAATACATTATTTATGTATTTATGTATTTGAGACATTTATATGCTGTCCTTCTCACCCCGAAGGTTTATATATATCTTGGCTTACAAGATATATATACATACAATACATTATATTATTAGCATAGTACAATATCAGTATTATATATCACTATATTGTACTATATCATTATATTGCAATATTATTAGTAATATTACATGTAATGCAAAATATATAATTATAATATATTATTATTATATTACATTACATTATAATAGTATAAATATATCTCTTTCTTTGAAATGTATATTCTGCTGGACTTTGAGTTCAGCGTACACCAGGGGACCTGATGGGATCCCCATAAACAATGACAGAGATTGCTGTGTTTCCCAAAGCTTTCATTCCTCTCCAAACTCATGCCTCTTGCCTATTCCCCATTATATTATATTATATTATATTATATTATATTATATTATATTATATTATATTATATTATATTATATTATTTAGGACATTTATATGCCACCCTTCTCACCCCAAAGGGGACTCAGAGTGACTTACAAAATATATATACATACAATACATTAATTTATTAGCATAGTACAATATCAGTATTATATATTACTATATTGTACTATACCATTATATTGTAATATTATTAGTAATATTACATGTATACAAAATATATAATTATAATATCATAATGTTATTATTATATTGCATTACATTATAATAATATAAATATATCTCTTTCTTTGAAATGTATATTCTGCTGGACTTTGAATTCAGCGTACACCAGGGGACCTGATGGGATCCCCATAAACAATGACTGAGATCGCTGTGTTTCCCAAAGCTTTAATTCCTCTCCAAACTCATACCTCTTGCTATTCCCCATTATATTATATTATTTATTTACGACATTTATATGCCGCCCTTCTCACCCCGAAGGGGACTCAGAGTGGCTTACAAAATATATATTCATACAATACATTAATTTATTAGCATAGTACAATATCAATATTATATATTACTATATTGTACTATATCATTATATTGTAATATTATTAGTAATATTACATGTAATACAAAATATATAATTATAATATATTATTATTATTGTTATATTACATTACATTATAATAATATAAATATAGCTCTTTATTTGAAATGTATATTCTGCTGGACTTTGAAGTTCGACACACACCAGAGGACCTGACGGGATCCCCATAAAAAGTGACGGGGATCCCTGTGTTTCCCAAAGCTTCCACTCCTCTCCGAACTCATGCCTCTTGCCTAATATATATATTTATTTAAAATGTATATTCTGCTGGACTTTGAAGTTCGATGTACACCAGGGGACCTGATGGGATCCCCATAAAGAGTGACGGGGATTGTTGTGTTTCCCAAAGCTTCCACTCCTCTCCAAACTCATGCCTCCTGCCAAAGCCTCACTTATCTTTGTTTGGAATGTATATTCAGCCACGAAAACATACATGCTTGCTCCTTCTATCTTCCGGTTAGGTGGTGACCTTCGACGCGGGAGGTGTCAGTGCTCACATCAACCACAGATCCCTCTATGCTGCGGTCAGGTATGTTTCTTGGGGCTTCATGTTGAGATCCAGGTCTTCGATGCTTCAAAGAGCTTCGTGGCAGTCCGCAAAGGACTCCAGGTTCCTGTTTTTGTACAAACAACAACCCTGAGAGGCAGGCCAAGCTGATGACGAGATAGGCTGAGTGAGGTTCATGTAGCCTCAATGAGGACTCGACTCTTGTTCTTCCCCAGCCACTACTGATTACAAGTGACAAACAAACGACTTACAAACGACTCCTAGTTAAGAACTCAGCTCTGTTTGTAACTATGTCGTTTGTAAGTTGGATGTTTGTCACTCAGGAACGGCCTGTACATCTATTTGGCTGGAGTTACACTTCAGAAATGTCCCTGTTCCAACTTATATACACACTCAACTCCAGAACAAACCTACAGAACCGATTTTGTTTGCAACTCTTATTGCGGAAGACAGTCGAACTGGGACACAGTCCTTGGAACGGGAGCGCACCACCGAACCGCGCCTAGGAAAAGATCGGAACTCGAGAAATAGAGAACGGGACAAATTGTCCTCGTCTACTTCCTTGTTTGTTTTCTCCTCTCGGCTGCGGGTATTGAAGCCCCAAACCGCTCGGAGTCTGAAAGCAAACCCTGCCCAGCCAGGCCTCGATTGGCGTTGGCGGCTGTTGCGAAACCCAGCAGCAACCTCTCCCCTGGTTGGAAGGGTGCCAGGCCCAGCCACTCCTGAATGCATGTGCTGCCAGGAGCTGGGAAAAGAGCTGTCTCCCAATAACAGGCGTCACTGAGGCCCACTTTCTATATATGGTGTGGAAGGCAGGGGAGGGGAGGGAGATCCACTCCTTGAAAAGGTTGGGCCCTTCAGTGCCATGCTGGAATAGGCTTCCACCACCATCATCCTTCTTATAATTTTATATCATCATAATTCTATATTAGCAACATTATTATTATTATTATTTTATAGTATTATATTATGTTATTTTTATATTATTTTATATTATATATTATTATATTAGTATAATTATTGTATATTGTTATATTATGTTGTTTTAATATTATTCATATTATTATAGATTATTGTATTATTATAGATCATTTAAATTATAGTATTGTATTTTTATTATTTTTATTACATTATTTATTTGTTTGTTTATTTATGACACTCACCCCAAAGGGGACTCAGAGCAGCTTACAAGATATATATACATACAATATTTTATATTATTAGCATGGTACAATATCAGTATTATATATTACTATATGGCACTATACCATTATATTGTAATATTATTAGTAATATTACATGTAATATAAATATATAATTATAACATTGTATTATTATTACTAGTATTATATTGTGTTACATTATAATATTATAAATATTATATGTATACACAATATATTATATTATTAGTAAAGACATTTTTGCCTCACTCCTGCCATTTTACCTCCTGAGGAATACTCCCACCCACAATTCTTGCCTCCTAATTTCCTTCAGGGAGGAAGGCAACCCACATTGCCATTTTGGTATTTATTATTATTATATTTTAAAAAACAACATCTTGACCAACATCAAAGCCCCCGTTTAACTTGAGGACCTCTTGCTGGGCCCGCTCCATAAATAGAAACAGCACAATTTACAGAAGGCATGGGCCACCCTCGGCCCCACGCCCAGGCGCCCCGGACCCCAACTCCCACAATTCCCAGCAGCATTATTTTCATATTATTAATTCATTTTATTATAGATTATTATATTACTATATATATATATATATATTATAGATTATTATATTACTATATATTATTTTATATTATTATATTATGTTATTTTTATATTTTTACTATATAATTTCTTACTAATAATACTATATATTTTGTTATATCTTATTTTATATTATTATATTATATTATTTTAATATTATTATATTATTGTATTTTATTATACAATAATATAATATTATCAAGGATGGTATCCTTGAAGTGACTCCCTTGACTCTGAAGGAGCTGGGGGAGGTGACGGCTGACAGGGTGCTCTGGCGTGGGATGGTCCATGAGGTCACAAAGAGTCGGAAGCGACTGAACGAATGAACAACAACATTTTATTATATTATAATAATATTATTACAATTTTTACTATTATATTGTATTTTTATTATTTTATATTATTATATTATATAATTTTATATTATAGATTAATATAATTGACATTATAATTTTATTACTAGTATGATAAATTTATTATTTATGTGTTTTATTATTTTATATTATAATATTTTTATTATATTATTGTATTTATTATATATATTACGTTCTTATACTATTATTATAGATTACTATATTATTAAATAATAATTTTATAGTATAGTATACTGTATTTTTATTATATATAATTATAGAGAATTTTAATTTTAATATAATAATTTTATATTATGTATTATTATAGATTATATTACTATTAGTTATACATTTTTATTATACTATATTTTAATTATTTTGTATTATTATAATTTTATTATTATTATATAACTATATTATTTTATATTGTTATATTATTTTATATTTTATTATTGTATATTATTATAATTGACTGGATGCCCTGACACGAAAAATAAATAAATTATAATTTTATATTATTATTGAATTACTAGCCATCCCCTGCCATGCATTGCTGTGGCCCAGTCTGTGTATATGTGTTTTGTGTGTGTATATGTGTGTGTATATATTTGTGTATATGTGTATATGTGTGTTTGCATATGTGTGTGTGTGTGGTTTTGCGCATGCGTTGTAATGCAATTTTTGTTTTTTGGCTTTTTAAGTCCCTTCTGTTGTGTTTTTCAGTGTTTTTATGAGTAATGGTCACTCGTTGGCCTGAGAGGTGTCTTGTGTCCAAATTTGGTGTCAATTCGTCCAGTGGTTTTTGAGTTATATTAATCGCACAAACAAACATTACATTTTTATTTATATATAGATAATTATTGTATTATTATTATTGGTGTATTATACTGTATTATTATTGTATATTATTATTATTTTATATTATTATTGTATTATTATTATTATCTGCCTCTCCTCATGGCTCAAGGCAGGACACAACACAGTCAAAGCACAAAATACACATATTTTTTAAAAAAAATTAAAAAAACACCAATATTAATCACATTCAAAGTTTCAAATTGACTGAGTAGGCCCTGCCGGAAGAGGTGGGTCTTTGAGTTTTGGACATGGTGTTAAAAACGTGAAGCCCGTGGAAATGATAGAAAGGTTGGATTGGATGGACAGGGATCTTTCAAGGTCATCTAGTCTGACCTGCATCTTAGTGCAGGAAGCTGATGACTTTGAGATCCAGAGAAATAAAAATCAGCATTGCAAGAGGTGGAGACCAATGTGGGGAAAGGGAGACGGCCCCAGGACGTATTTACATATTCACCTGGGCACTATTTGTTTTTCAACAGGTACCTAATATCAGAGGAGAAACTTCCAGGAGGTATGTGACGCTAGAGCTCTTTCTGCATCATCATCTCATACTAAATATGTGAAGGCTTGTGGGCAAGCATGTTGAGAGAGACACAGATAGAGAGAGAGAGGAAAGAGAGAGAGACAGAATGATAGAGGAACGATAGATAAAAGGAATGTAGATAGATGGACAGAGGAATGAAAGACAGACAGACAGACAGACAGACAGAGGAAAGAGAATGAATGATAGATGAATGTAGATAGAAAAGGAGAGAGGAAAGAGAGAGAATGATACGGGAATGATAGACAGATAGAGGAATGTAGATAGACGTATAGAGGAATGAAAGACAGGCAGATGGATAGACAGACAGAAGAATGATAGACAGGAATGTAGATGGATAAATGATAGATAGATAGATGATATTATTGTGATAGCGATAGAGAAAGAGAGAGAATGATAGAGGAATGCAGATAGATAGATAGATAGATAGATAGATAGATAGACAGATAAGAAGAAAGAGAAGTGATGGAGGAATATAGATAGAGAAATGATAGAGGAAAGAGAATGACAGAAGAATGTAGTTATGCGACCCCCGAGCTTTAGTGCAATCTGGTAATGGAACATAGGAATGGAACAATGGACGACGAACCTGGACTACGCTTGGATGATGAGAAGATTGGGTACGGTTGTTTTTCATAATAATTGTGCATTGTAATTGCTTATTGGTAATTTATGGGTAATGTGTTAAGTCAATTGTTATATGTTGTATGGAACCACTGCTGTTTCTACTGTTTTTACTGTTTGTGAACCGCTGTGAGTCGCCTTCGGGCTTGAGATACAGCGGTATATAAGCAAAGTAAATAAATAAATAAATAAATAATAGATAGAGAAATGATAGACAGATGGAGGAATGTAGATAGATGGATAGATAGGGGGAAAGATAGATAGATAGATAGATAGATAGATAGATAGATAGATAGATAGATAGATAGATAGATAGAGGAATGATATTATTATGATAGAGAAAGAGAGAATGATAGAGGAATTTAGATGGATAAATAGATGAATGATAGATAGACAGACAGATGGATAGATAGAGAGGAAAAGGAGAGACAGAATGATAGCGGAATGATAGAGGAATGTAGATAGGTGGAAAGAGGGATGAAAGAAAGAAAGACAGACAGACAGAGGAATCATAGACAGGAATGTAGATGGATAGATAGAGGAATGATAGATAGATAACTAGATAGATAGATAGATACTATAGATAGATAGATAGATAGATAGATAGATAGATAGATAGATAGATAGATAGATAGATAGATAGATAGATAGAGGAATGAGAGAAAGAGAGCTGACAGGGAATTTAGGTAGAGGATACATAGATAGGAATTATAGACAGGAATGTAGATTGATAGAAGAATTGATAAAGAAAGATGATAGAGGAAAGATAGAGAAAGAGAGAGAGAGAATGATAGGAACGATAAACAGTTAGAGGAATGTAGATAGGTGGATAGAGGAATGAAAGAGACAGACAGATAGACAGAGGAATGATAGACAGGAATGTAGATGGATCGATAGAGGAATTGTAGGTAGGTAGGTAGGTAGGTAGGTAGGTAGGTAGGTAGGTAGATAGATAGATAGATAGATAGATAGATAGATAGATAGATGATAAAGAAGAAGGGGAGGTGATAGAGGAATATAGATAGAGAAATGATAGATTGAGGAATGACAGAGGAATGTAGATAGAGAAATGATAGACTGATGGAGGAATGTAGATAGATAGATAGATAGATAGATAGAGGGATGATAGAGAAAGAAGAGAGATGATACAGGAATATAGATAGAGGAATGATATAGATCGGTAGAGAAAGAGAGACGATAGATGGATGGATGGATGGATGGATGGATGGATGTTACAGAAGAAAGAGACGTGATAGAGGAAGATAGATAGATAGATAGATAGATAGATAGATCCTTACATATCACCTGTCACATCAGCACTTTTAATTCTGTACCCATTACTCTGGCCTGGCCCAGTTTTATTGTGTCTTGGTGTATTGTCTATTGCTTGTTGTTTAATATTGCTTTAACTGTTTTTAATTTGCTTTAGGTTGTGTATTGTTATGTTGTGTTTTGAGGCCTTGGCCTTTGTAAGCCGCATCGAGTCCTTCGGGAGATGCTAGCGGGGTACAAATAAAGTTAATAATAATAATAAATAATAATAGATAGATAGATAGATAGATGTTAAAGAAGAAAGAGAGGTGATAGAGGAATATAGATAGAGAAATGATAGATAGATGGATGGATGGATGGATGGATGGATGGATGGATGGATGGATGGATGGATGGATGGAAAGATAGATAGATAGATAGATAGATAGATAGACAGACAGACAGACAGACAGACAGACAGACAGACAGACAGACAGACAGACAGACAGACAGATGAATGATCAGATAGATAGATGATATAGAGATGATAGATAGATGTAGATGGATAGATCGAGGAATAAAGGATAGATTGATAAAGAAAGAAAGAGAGAAGATAGATAGATAGATAGATAGATAGATAGATAGATAGATAGATAGATAGAGGAATGATAGAGAAAGAAGAAAGGGAGATGATAGAGGAATATAGTGGAATGATAGATTGATAGAGAAAGACAGAAGATAGACAGAAAATGATAGAAGGAGGAAGGAAAGAACAGGCCTTCATCCACTTTAGGAATCCATTAGTGTTGATGAGTGGATGAAGGCATTTCCTTTGCATAACCTTGCACCCCTTCCAACACTCCACAGGTTTGCATTTAGTCCAAATCAACACAGAAGATATTACTACTATGATTAATAATGAACAGAATTCATTAACACAATAATATTCATAATGTATTGTCAAAGGCTTTCATGGCCGGAATCACTGGGTTGTTGTAGGTTTTTTTCGGCCTATATGACCATGTTCTAGAGGCATTCTCTCCTGACGTTTCGCCTGCATCTATGGCAAGCATCCTCTGAGGATGCTTGCCATAGATGCAGGCAAAACGTCAGGAGAGAATGCCTCTACAACATGGCCATATAGTCAGAAAAAACCTACAACAACCCAATATTCATAATGATGTTAATAGCATTATTAGTTGAAAAATAACAGTCTTAATTACCAAAAAAATAACAGTATTAATATTACTAATAGTATAATATTAGTAGTATTGATAACAAATGGCATTCTATCTGGACTGGCAACAAAAGAGGAAGCTGGGTTTTAAGGGGCCCAACAGCGCCACCTGGTGGGCTTCCTCCCTTCCTTTCCTTGCTTTTCCATTTCCAAAGTCCTTCCCTTCCTACTTGAGATAAAGGGATTTTTTTTAATCTGGCTCTTTTAATATTTAACTTCTATTTGCCTAGCAGAATTTTCCATTCTTGGAAATGCAAACATTGAAATCCTCTTTGACTTTGATGCCAATGTACTAAAAAGTGCACTTTTGGAGTGACATTATTATTATTATTATTATTATTATTATTATTATTATACTGATACAAAACACAGTATGTCACAGCAAATGAGATCTATACGCTGGATTTCGTATCACAAAACCACAAGCCGAACACTTCCCAAGCGTTCGAAATATACAATGCCAGAAAACCGCACTATTATTATTCTTATTATTATTATTATTTTACTGACACAAAAACACAGTATGTCACAGCAAATGAGATCTATATGCTGGATTTCGTTTCGCAAAACCACAAGCCGAACACTTCCCAAGCGTTCGAAATATACAATGCCAGAAAACCGCATTATTATTATTATTATTATTATTATTATTATTATTATTATTATTTTACTGACACAAAAACACAGTATGTCACAGCAAATGAGATCTATATGCTGGATTTCGTATCACAAAATCACAAGCCAAACACTTCCCAAGCATTCAAAATATACAATGCCAGAAAACCACATTAATTATTATTATTATTATTATTATTATTAGCAGCTTGGGTACCCTGCGTTGGCCTGGGTTATTTGAAAAAGTCAGTTTTTTAATTGTACGAAATGCATAAGGTTGTGGGTGAACTACAACTCCCATCATGCCCTGTGGAACTCCATCAATACTTCAAGTTTGTTATGCTGGGCAAGTTTGCTGTAGATGCATCACCCGTGGAGTTGAGTGTGCTCTCTGGCTGTAGGTAAACTACAACTCCCACTATGGAGAGTCAGTCATCTCCAACCCCTCCACTAGGTTGAGTGAGTCATGGGGGTTCTGGATGCCAAGTGTGTCTATCATCAGTGGAGGTCTCTGTTTCTCTGGTTGTGGGTGAACTACAACTCCCAGAAAGGAAGGTCAGTTCCCCCCAAACCCCTCCAGTCGTCAAATTTTGGCATATCAGGTATGCGAGTCAAGTTTAGTCCAGATCCATTGGTGTTTGGATTCCCAGTGCTCTCTGGATGTAAGTGAACTACAACTCCCACTATGGAGAGTCAGTCCTCTCCAACTCCTCCAGTAGGTTGAGTAAGTCATGGGAGTTCTGGATGCCAAGTTGGCTCCAGGCCCATCATTGGTAGCAGTCTCTGTTTCTCTGGTTGTGGGTGAACTACAACTCCCAGAAAGGAAGGTCAGTTCCACCAAACCCCTCCAGTGATCAAATTTCAGCATGTCGGTATGCGTTTCAAGTTTAGTCCAGATTAATTGGTGTTTGGATTCACAGTGCTCTCTGGATGTAGGTGAACTACAACTCCCCCAAATCAAGGTGAATTTCCCCCAAAGGCCTCCAGTATTTTTTTCTGGTCATGGGGGGCTCTGTGTGCCAAGTTTGGCCCAATTCCATCTTTGGTGGAGTTCAGAGTGTTCATTGATTGCAGGTGAACTATAAATCCCAAGACTTCCAACTCCAAAATGTCCAGGTGGTGGTGAATTCCTTTCAAGCTCTGTGTTGGGTTGACTTTGAAGTCAATGGCCCAAGGAGGGCACTGTTGGAAGTGAGATTACTAATTAATTGATATTATTAATAATAATTATTAATAATATCCTATCCACCTTCTTCCTCCTTTGCCCAGGCTGCCGGGTCCTCGTCCTGGAGACGGTCCCCCTTTTCCGGAAGTACGTCTCCCTCTTGGATCTCCCTTCGGCCTGGATCCAGACTCCGGATGTGCTCTTTGTGCTGACGCAGGAGGAGGCCAACCTGGCCAAGGTGGGGAAAACCTCAGGGGAAAGGATTTCGGATAAATATCGAAAGATATATACGTATTTCCCAGATTGTAATCTACCAGCCCTATTAGGAACCAGGGGATATTTTATGACCCTCTAAATTATTTCTGGTCCAACCTCCTTCCCATCCCGAGTGGACAAAACTCATCTATCTGTCGAGAGGGTTTTGATGGTGCCTTGGCAGAAGGACGTTGGACTGGATGGCCCCTGGAGCCTATTCCAGTCCTATGATTATGGTAATATCAACAATAATAGCAATATAGCGGTATCATCAGTATAGTAATAATCCTATCTTCCTGCCTGGCAGAAAGGGGTTGGACTAGATGGCCTTTGGAGCCTCTTCCAATTCCATAACTCTAATAATAATAATAATCCAATACAACAGCCAGCAGAGTGATCTTGTCTGCTGTGGACTCATCTTGTTGTGTTTCTAATAATAATAATAATAATAATAATAATAATGACAATAGTAATATAATAATAATAGACAATAGTAGTATCATAGTGGTTCTATCTTCCTGCCTGGCAGAAAGGGGTTGGACTGGATGGCCTCTGGAGCCTTTTCCAGTTTCATAACTCTAATAATAATAATGATAATGATGATGATGATGATCCAATACAACAGCCAGCAAAGTGATCTTGTCTGCTGTGGACTCATCTTTTTGTGTTTCAAATAATATTAATAATAATAATAATAATAATAATATAATAGACAATAGTAATATAATAATTCCAATTCCATAACTCTAATAATAATAATAATAATAATAATAATAATAATAATAATAATAATAATAATAGACGATAGTAATATCATAGCGATTCTATCTTCCTGCCTGGCAGAAAGGGGTTGGACTGGATGGCCTCTGGAGCCTCTTCCAATTCCATTAGTCTAATAATAATAATAATAATAATAATAATAATAATAATAATCCAATACAACAGCCAGCAGAGTAGTAGTAATAATAATAATAATAATAATAATAATAATAATAATAATAATAAATATAGTGATTCTATCTTCCTGCCTGGCAGAAAGSGGTTGGACTGGATGGCCTTTGGAGCCTTTTCCAATTCCATAACTCTAATAATAATAATAATAAYAATAATAATAACAATAATAATAATAATAATAATAATAGATGATAGTAATATCATAGTGATTCTRTCTTCCTGCCTGGCAGAAGGGRGTTGGACTGAATGGCCTTTGGAGCCTATTCCAATTCTATGACTCTAATAATAATAATTAATAATAATAATAATTGGCGCTGACAAAATTACTACCTGCCAGCTGCAGAAGGCCACCTTACTGGGATTGGTACACATTATTCGCTGATACATCAGACAGTCCTAGACACTTGGTAAGTGTCCGACGTGTGATCCACTACAACAGCCAGCAGAGTGTCTGCTGTGGACTCACCTTTTTGTGTCTCTAATAATAATAATAATAATAATAATAATAATAATAAAGTGATTCTACCTTCCTGCCTCACAGAAGCGGGGTTGAATGAGATGACCCTTTGGGACTAACTTCCAAATCTATAGAGAAATATCAACTGCTTGGGAGTTTAATGGAACCTCCTCTGGAGGTTTTGAAGCAGAGGCTGGATGGCCATCTGTCGAGAGGGATCGGATGGTGCCTTCCTGCCTGGCAGAAGGGCGTTAGTAAGTCTAGAGACATTATAACAAGCCACGTGATCCTGAGATGAGTAGCATAGCACAACCACACCGATGGAATGGCATGATGGGCATCTTGATCAACGTAACTTGGGAACCAGTTGCCCAAACATCTAAAACAAGGCCCCCGTGTCCCATTTTCCTTCCAGAGCGCCATGCGATGCCATCGCAGCCAACTCCTGTGGTTCCGCCGCCTCTACGTCCCCTTCTCCCGCTACATGGTGATCAATTCGCTCAACTACCTCCAACTGGGGGGCGAAAGGGGTCCCTTGCCAGCAGAGAAGCCTGGCCAACTTCGATGCGTCGACAAACAGATCCTCCGCCATCGTCCCATGGAAACATTTCCCTCTCTTGGCTGAAAACCACATTCCCGCCAGTTCACATTTCTGCCAAGGTGCAAAAGCAAACCACAGGAAGTTCGCATCATTTCCTGCACAGATGGACAAGAGAAAGCCTTACTCTTTCTATGTATCTGTCTAGCATTCTGATATCTCTCTATCTACCATTCCTCTCTCTCTCTTCTGTCATCTATCTATCTATCTATCTATCTATCTATCTATCTATCTATCTATCTATCTATCATTCCATCATTCCTCTTTCTACCTATCTACATTCTTCTATCACCTATATCATTCCTCTCCCTCTCCCTCTAACACAGTGGTTCTCAATCTGGGGTCCCCAGATGTTTTTGGCCTACAACTCCCAGAAATCCTAACAGCTGGTAAACTGGCTGGGATTTCTGGGAGTTGTAGGCCAAAAACATATGGGGACCCCAGGTTGAGAACCACTGCAACATATTACACACACGCACACACACATACACTTATCTCTCTATCTAGCATTCCTCTATCTCACATTATTGTCTATCTATTAGCCACTTTGGGTCTTCTGGTGGAGAGAAAAAGCATCTATCTTTCCTCTATCTATCTATCTATCTATCTATCTATCTATCTATCTATCTATCTATCTATCTATCTATCTATCATTCCTCTCTCTCTCTATCATTCCTCTATCTATCATTCCTCTATCTATCTATGTATCTATGTATGTATGTATGTATCTATCTATCATTCCTCTATCTATCTATCTATCTATCTATCTATCTATCCTCTATCTATCTGTCATTCCTCTATCTACTTTTTATTTTTTATTATTTATTTACAGTATTTATATTCCGCCCTTCTCAACCCACAGGGGACTCAGGGCGGATTACAATGTACATATACATGGCAAACATGGATAAATACAAATAATCCTGCTCCTTTATCTCACCCTGAGTTTTTAAATCATTTTATGTACATGTGGCTCGCTCGCTGTCATTATTTTTGGTTTATGGGTTTTTTTTCTCTTTATGTTTTGTGTATATTGTTTATATGATTATATGTTTTATATTTTAATGCTATGTTGTTTATTTTATTGCAATTTGTATGTTATTTTATTGTATTTTGTTGTTCGGGCTTGGCCTCATGTAAGCCGCCCCGAGTCCCTGTTGGGGAGATGGTGGCGGGGTATAAATAAAGATTATTATTATTATTATTATTATTAAACATTCAATGCCATAGACACACGACATATATAGATAGACACACAGAGGCAATTAACATTCCAGCTTTTGATGAGGGTATTCTGGCCACCAGGGGAGCTGTCACTTCACCGTCCATTTCTGACACTCCTGAAGTACTTCCTCATTCTTTGCATGTTTGCTGGAGATTTTTATGGTGTCATAAATTAGTTAAATTAGCCTCCCCGCATACGCAGTGCCTAAATTTCCTACTTGACAGATGCAACTGTCTTTCAGGCTGCAAAGGTTGACAGCAARCTACACAAATTGGTCAGAAGCTCACTCCAACCCGGGCTGGTTTCAAACTCATGACCTTTTGGTCAGTAGTGATCTCAATGCAGCTGACTCCCAGCCAGCTGTGCCACAGTCCCAGTATCTATCTATTATTATCTATCTATCATTCCTCTATCCATCTGCCTATTTACCTATCTATCTACCTATCTATCTGTTATTCTCCTATCTGTCTGTCTGTCTACCTGTCATTCATCTATCTATCTATCTATCTATCTATCTATCTATCTATCTTTCCTCTATCTATCTATCTATCTATCTATCTATCTATCTATCTATCTGTCATTCCCCTATCTATCTATCTATCTATCTATCTATCTATCTATCTATCTTTCCCAACCCAAAGCGGCATGGTCAAATCTTTTAAGCGTGGAGGGACCACTGCTCTGAGACGAATGCACTGATATGTCATAGAGTAGTAATTTCCAATTTTGTGACCAAAGAATGAATTCACATCCCGGATGGTTGAAAGGGAATGGTTTCTGATTCACTTTGGAATTCCACTCAGTGACAGGGAGGGGCGGCACACAATCATATTAAGTCATGAAAATAATAAGCATTGTACTTTTGTGTATTCGGCTACTTGATTGGATGGGGAGTTATTTGTGCGGGACAGATTTTTGGAAGGAAAATCCTTTGAGGAAATACGAAATGTGAGATTCTGTTTCCGCTCAGCTAAAGGGGGCGAATGAGCCATGGAAAGCTGTGTTTCTTACAAAATACCACCTTTTATTTGGAAGGGAAAGGGCTTTCCAGGGGGAGAGGAGCCTCGGTGCCCGATTCGGAGGCATCACGGTTTGGACATGCTCTTGATGGTGGGGTGAGCACCGACGGCCTTCTCCCATTCTTTGCCATTGATGGCCTCGACGGTGACGTTGCTCACGGTGCCCTCGTCCAGGCAGTGTGGAGCGACACCTACGAAGAGGGAGAAAACGCCATCAGAGATGCATTGGAGCCATGGCTTCAAATGACAGGACAGGAGATCCTGAACTGAACATAAGGAAGCCTTCCTGATCTTTAAAAGAGCTGTTCACCAGTGGAACACTCTGCCTCAGGGTCCAGTGGAGGCTTGCAAGCAGAGGCTGGATGGCCATCTGTCAGGGCTGCTTTGGTGGTGTCTAGAAAAAGGGGGTTGGACTGGATGGCCCATGAGGTAGCTTCCAACTCTGTGATTCTATGAAATGCTAATCAAAGTGATTAATTACAACATTGACACTTGCCTCAAGCAGACAAGAGATTTTTTTTCTCCCACCCTGGATATTATTCCACAGATATATAAATCCCATTTTCCTAGTTTCCCACAGACCTCACAACCTCTGAGGATGCCTGCCACAGATGCAGGCGAAATGTCAGGAGAGAATGCTTCCCTATCGTGGCCAGACAGCCCAGAAAACGCACAGTAACCCACTAAAGGATGTGGTGCAAAAGTAACCTAATAATATAATATAATGTAATACAATATAATATATTTTATATACATATATTTACACTATTATAATGTAATGCAATAAAATACTAATAATATATTATAATTATATATTTATATTACATCTAATATTACTAATAATATTACAATATAATGGTATAGTACAATATAGTAATATTTTTATACTGATATTGTACTATGCTAATAATATAATATATTATATATCTTGTAAGAAGGGCGGCATATAAATGTCATAAATAAATAATAAATAGTACAATATAGTAATATATAATACTAATATGGTGCTATGCTAGTAATATAATATATTGTACACACATATAATATTACAATATAATACAATACTAATAATAATACAATATAATAATTATATATTACTGTAATACTACTCATAATATTATTACAGTATAGTGGTGTAGTACAATATAGTAATATATAATACTGATATTGTACCATGCTAATAATATATTGTACGTGTATATATATATATATATATCTTGTAAGCCATTCTGAGTCCCCTTCGGGGTGAGAAGGACGGCATATAAATGTCAGAAATAAATAAATAGTACAATATAGTAATATATAATAATATGGTACTGTGCTAGTAATATAATATATTGTATACACATATAATATTGATAATAATATAATAATAATAATACTAATAATACAATATAATAATTATATATTAATGTAATACTACTCATAATATTATTACAGTATAGTGGTGTAGTACAATAGTAATATATAATACTGATATTGTACTATGCTAATAATATACTATATTGTGTGTGTGTGTGTGTGTATAATATCTTGTAAGCCACTCTGAGTCCCCTTTGGGGTGAGAAGGGCAGCATATAAATGTCATAAATAAATAAATAAATAAATAGTACAGTATAGTAGTATATAATACTAATATGGTGCTGTGCTAGTAATATAATATATTGTATACACATATAACATTGATAATAATATAATATAATAATACAATAAAATTATTATATAATAATGTAATACTATTCATAATATTATTACAGTATAGTGGTGTAGTACAATATAGTAATATATAATACTGATATTGTACTATGCTAATAATATAATATATTGTGTGTGTATATGTATGTGTGTGTGTGTGTGTGTATATATATATATATATATATATATATATCTTGTAAGCTGCTCTGAGTCCCCTTCGGGGTGAGAAGGGCAGCATATAAATGTCATAAATAAATAATAAATAAATAGTACAGTATAGTAGTATATAATACTAATATGGTGCTGTGCTAGTAATATAATATATTGTATACACATATAACATTGATAATAATATAATATAATATAATAATACAATAAAATTATTATATAATAATGTAATACTATTCATAATATTATTACAGTATAGTGGTGTAGTACAATATAGTAATATATAATACTGATATTGTACTATGCTAATAATATAATATATTGTGTGTGTGTGTGTGTGTGTATCTTGTAAGCCGCTCTGAGTCCCCTTCGGGGTGAGAAAGGCGGCATATAAATGTTGTAAATAAACAAATAAACCTAATAACCCCACAACTTATAGGGATTTTGGTGCAGGCCGAAGCGTGGATGTCACAGGGCATCTCAGCCTATGGTTCTAAGGAAGGAATGCCGGGATCTGTGATCCAGTTATCTATCCCTGCTTCAAAGCCACCATGGGCTCCAATGAGGAGAATCGCAGGATGATGGCAATACCATAGCCGTCGGGATTGGAGCGAGGTGTGTAGAAGCTCTGGACGCCGCAGGTCTTGCAGAAGGTGTGCTGGGCCCGGTGTGTGTTGAAGGTGTAGGCGGTGAGGTTGTTAGCACCCTGGGCAAGGAAACAGAACCACCTTCAGGAGAAATCCCTTTAAGACAGTCCCTCATGTTGTGGTGACCCCCAACCATAACATTTTTGTTGCTACTTCACAACTGTCATTTTGCTACTGTTATGAATCGTCATGTCAGTATCTGATCTGCAGGATGTATTTTCATCCACTTGACCACATTTGGCACAAATACCCGATACGCCCAAATCTGAATACTGTTGGGGTTGGGGGGATTGATTTTGTTACTGGGATTTATAGTTCACCTCCAATCAAAGAGCATTCTGAACTCCACCAATGATGGAACTGAACCAAACTGGCACACAGAACTCCCACAACCAACAGAAAATACTGGAAGGCTTTGGTGGGCATTGAACGTTGGCTTGGGAGTTGTAGTTCACCTACATCCAGAGAGCAGTGTGGACTCAAACAATGATGGATCTGGAACAAACTTGGCACAAATACTCAATATGCCCAAATGTGAACACAGATGGACTTTGGGGAAAAGAGATCTTGACATTTGGGAGTTATAGTTGCTGGGATTTATAGTTCACCTACAATCAAAGAGCATTCTGAAGCCCACCAACGATGGAATTGAACCAGACTTGGCACACAGAACTCCCATAACCAACAGAAAATACTGGAAGGGTTTGGTAGGCATTGACCTTTGGTTTGGGAGTTGTAGTTCACTTACATCCAGAGAGCAGTGTGGACTTAAACAATGATGGATCTGGGACAAACTTGGCAAAATACTCAATATGCCCAAATGTGAACACTGGTGGAGTTTGGGGAAAAAAGAATCTTGACATTTGGGAGTTGTAGTTGCTGGGATTTATAGTTCATCTACAATCACAGAGCATTCTGAACCCCCCAATGATGGAATGGAACCAAACTTGGCACACAGAACCCCAATGACCAACAGAAAATACTGGAAGGGTTTGGTGGGCATTGACCTTGAATTTGGAGTTGTAGTTCACCTACATCCAGAGAGCACTGTGGACTCAAACAATGATGGATCTGGAACAAACTTGGCACATACTCAATATGCTCAAATGTGAACACTGGTGGAGTTTGGGGGAAAGAGATCTTGACATTTGGGAGTTGTAGTTGGTGGGATTTATAGTTCACATATAATCAAAGAGCAATCTGAAGCCCACCGACGATAGAATTGGGCCAAACTTCCCACACAGAGATCTTGACATTTGGGAGTTATCGTTGCTGGGATTTATAGTTCACAAAGTATTATGTTATTGTTGTTGAAACTTCAGATATATCATTTGACAGGTTTATAACTTTATTTATTTATTTAGGGCTTTTATATCCCATCCTATCTCAACCTCCACAGAGAGACACAGGATGGCTAACACTCATGGCGCCTGTGAAGATCCCTTACCTTACCAGCCTGGGTGGCAGGGCCTAGGAGAGGCAGGCTAGTTAGTTTCAGCCTTAGAAGGCCTGGCAGAGGGCAGCAGGAGCCATTTTAGTTTAGGGAAAGCTCAATTTCAGAGAGGGGGAGTGGCCTAGGCCTGAGCCAGCCTTAGAGCAGCCAGGATTGGTTTATTAAAGGGGGGCGGAGTTAGACTGTTTGGAGGGAAAGAAAGAAACTTTTTTAGTCATAGAATCATAGAATCATAGAATCATAGAATCAAAGAGTTGGAAGAGACCTCATGGGCCATCCAGTCCAACCCCATTCTGCCAAGAAGCAGGAATATTGCATTCAAATCACCCCTGACAGATGGCCATCCAGCCTCTGCTTAAAAGCTTCCAAAGAAGGAGCCTCCACCACACTCCGGGGCAGAGAGTTCCACTGCTGAACGGCTCGCACAGTCAGGAAGTTCTTCCTAATGTTCAGATGGAATCTCCTCTCTTGTAGTTTGTAGTCAGTCTGTTGATGTTAGAGTTTAGGGCAGGATTACAGAAGTTTTTAGGAGTTCGTGATTAGAATAGGCAGTTTGCCTGAAGTTTGCCAGCGAAGTGAGCTGTAGCAAACTGGGTACAGCTATTTAGGGAAAAAATAGCTGGGTTTTATAGTTTGTAACAAAGAAAGAACCATTCTCATGCAACCGTTACGCTTTCAAGAACAAGAACATTTTATCTGTAACAGCCAAGCTTATTAAACTGCATTCACTTCATTCTGTACTATATTAAATAAACTTTTCTTGATTATTTTTAAAACTTAAAAGCCTGACTCCAGTGTGCCATTTGTGGCCATAGTCTTTTCATTCAATCTCACCTGCTTCCTTTAACTAGGAAACTAATACAACCTAGTACTTGGTGGTCTTTAAAAACCCTTTTATCATTTTGAATAGCTAGAGTGTTCCTGTTCATTTAGTTTATGGTGGCAGCGAAAGTTTAAATAGAGAGACATCCCCTCAAACGTTATATAGGTGCCAGTGAAGTCTTTATAAAGTGGTGTAAATTCTTTATTAAAGTAAGGACAGTGGTGGGATCTGTTTGCCCCCTGTCCAGGTATATTGGTTGGCCACTCGACGTGCCTTTATAATTTGGTGTCAGATGGTGGGATTGATCGTATTGCCATCTGCCTAGTTATTATAATTGGTGGGGCAGTGGTGGGATTGTTTGACCCCCAGCCCAGACAGCTATAAAGGTGTCTTTATAGCGCCCACATCAAAACATGAATATACAATTTAACAACAATATAATAAAACAGCAATATAAGCAGTATAAACAGTACAAAACCATATGAACAATATGCACAATATAGAGGAACAGCTTCTCTTTGTCATGGATAAATATAATATAATATATTGTATATGCATATAATATTGATAATATTATAATGTAATGCAATATAATAATAATAATACGATATTATAATTATATATTTATATTACATGTAATATTACTAATAATATTACGATATAGCGGTATGGTGCAATATAGCAATGTTTCATGCTGATATTGTACTATGCTAATAATATAATATATTGTATGTATATATATCTTGTAAGCCGCTCTGAGTCCCCTTTGGGGTGAGAAGGGCAGCATATAAATGTAGTAAATAAATAAATAAATACGTGTCCATATTCCTGCTGGGATTTATAGTTCACCAACAATCAAAGAGAAGTCTGAACCCCACCGCCGACAGAATTGGGTGCCAATCTTTCCACACAAGTACCCGTATGGCTTGAAGGGACTCGCTGGCACGAGCCTCCCTCCAGCCTCACACGCTCTCCCTCGCTGCCATGCGCCAAGCACGCCTGCTCTCCCCGCTTGGAGTCTCAGCCCTCCCATTGGCTGAGAGGTTGACCAATCACAGCAGGGGAGGGCTTTTGGTGGGAGGATTCAGTGTCTATTTCCAAAAAGGAAGAGAAGGGCAGGTGGAGAGATCTTCAGCCTTCTCTGCCAAAGGAGTTCCTAAGACCATCAGATATATGTGTTTTCTGATGGGCTTGTGACCCCCAGGTTGAGAAACACTGCAATACACCCACCTTCAGCAGCTTGAAGTGTGAGGCAGGAACAATGAAATGCTTGTTTTGCTTCTTGACGCAGATACTACAGCTGTGGTCAAGGGGAAAAAGGGAAGGGAATTATATTGATGATGAGAGGATGATGATTCCTTCTTTCCCAGAATCCCTCACCTACCTCGTATTACGCAACAAGGTGCTGCTGTGTGTTCTGCAAGCGGCTTATTTATCTGGGAAAATTAAAATAAAGAGTCGTGGGATAGGCCCTGCCTGACTCACTTGCAGTCAAAGACATGGATGGTGTCCGAGGCCCAGACCTCAAAGCGGACAGCTCCGCAGTGGCACCCCCCAGTGTGTTTCACCAGGCCCTGGCATGCCCTGCAAAGAGAAGCCAGGCAGAATGAGCACAACAAGGCCCCAGTCTTCCTCTCTCCTCTTCTCCTTCCTTCCTTCCTTCCTTCTCCTGTCCTCCTCCTTCATCCCTTGCTTCCATTCCAACTTCCTCCTCCTCTCCTCCTTCTCCATCCTTGCTTCCTTTCTTCCCTTTCTACTTCTTCCTTCCTTCCTTCCTTCTCCTCTCCTCCTCCTTCATCATCCCTTGATTCCATTCCAACTTCTCCTTCTTCCTCCTCTCCTCCTTCTCCATCCCTTGCTTCCTTTTCTACTTCTCTTTCCTTCCTTCCTTCCTTCCTTCCTTCCTTCTCCTCCTTCATCCCTTGCTTCCTTCCATTTCTACTTCTCTTTCCTTCCTTCCTTCTCTCCTCCTTCTTCATCCTTTGCTTCCTTTCTTCCCTTTCTACTTTTCTTTCCTTCCTTCCTTCACCTCTCCTCCTTCATCCCTTGCTTCCTTCCTTCCCTTTCTACTTCTCCTTCCTTCCTTCCTTCCTTCTCCTCCTTCATCTCTTGCTTCCTTTCTTCCCTTTCTACTTCTCCTTCCTTCTCCTTTCCTCCTCCTTCATCCTTTGCTTCCATTCCAACTTCTCCTTCCTCCTCCTCTCCTCCTCCTTCCTTTCTTTCCTTTTTATTTCTCCTTCCTTCCTCTTCTCCTTTCTTCCGTCTTCTTCCCTCCTATTCTCTCGGCATTAATTCTATTCCTTTCTATTCCACTCCCACCTCCTTTGCTTCTGTTCTTCCTCCTGTTCTTCCCTCGTTCCTTCCTTCCCCTCTTCTCTCAGCATTTATTCTATTCCTTCTTTCTCCCCTTCTTCCTCATTTCTTCTCTTCCTCCTCCTGTTCTTCCTTCCCTCTTTCCTTCCTCTCTTCTCTCAGCATTAATTATATTGCTTTTCTCCCCTTCTTCATTTCTTTCCCTCCTCTTCTTGTTATTCCTTCCCTCTTTCCTTCCTTCCTCTCTTCTCTCAGCATTTATTCTATTCCTTTTTTCTCCCCTTCTTCATCATTTCTCCTCTTCTTCCTCCTGTACTTCTTTCCCTCTATCCTTCCTTCGACTCTTCTCTCAGCATTAATTCTTTTCCTTTTTTTCTTCCCTTCCTCCCTTCTCTGCTCCTTCCTTTTCTCCTCTCCTCCTCTTCCTTCCCTCTTTCCTCCTGCTTCCTTTCTTTCTCCTCTCCTCTCCTTCCTTCCTTATCCCAGTGCCTAGATCCTCACAGCTCATCTCAGTGTTACCCAATTATATCCAGAGATTTCAAAGAAAAATGTTTCTCTTTATTCCCCTTGGCTTTGTAGTCTGAGAGCATTCTGAATATGGCTTTGGATTGTGGAAAACTCACCCGGAAGCAGCCCCAGGCGAGTCCCACTCTCTCGGCCTCAGAGCCATAGCAAACCTCTAGGATTAAGGTCGAATGGGGGCTGGGCGAGAGGCTTGAGAGCTGAACATAGGTTCAAATTCCAGCTCAATTCATGGCCACGTCCACTTCCCCTGCTGTGATTCCAGGCTTTGGGCACCAGAGGGCTCCATCGATTACACTATGTTTTTATGTTCCTGGGTTATATATGTGTGTGTGTGTGTCTGTGTGTATATACATACATATACATATATGTCATCTCCTAATTGGTTCAATCATAAAAAACATGGAAAAAGTTTATTAAACTACACAACGTTGTTTTTTTGCTGGACATCCTACTATAGCACATTTTGCAATAGTTTTTCAATCAATATCTCCTAGAGTCTCAACCAATTCAACTACTGTATATACTTGAGTATAAGCCTAGTTTTTCAGCCCCATTTTTAGGTTGAAAAAAAATCCCCTCGGCTTATACTCGAGTCAAGGTTATTTATTATTTTACTCTGCTATTAGTATTATTTTTATTACATTTATTATTTTACATTATTATTATTATTATTATTACATTTACAATATTTTATTCTATTATTACTTTTATCACATTTATTATTTTACTCTATTATTATTATATTTACATTATTTTACTCTATTATTACTTTTATTACATTTATTATTTTACTCTATTATTATTATTATTATTACATTTACATAACTTTACTCTATTGCTTTTATTACATTTATTATTTTACTGTATTATTATATTTATTGCATTTATTATTTTACTCTATTATTGTTATTATTACATTTATTACTTTATTATTATTATTACTATTATTATTAAATTTCCATTATTTATTATTATTTTTATTACACGTTATTACATTTATTATTTTAGTCTATCATTATTGGTAACAGATAAACACATTTACACTGAAGGAGGTTAGATTAATGGTTGAATCAGAGTTGGGCAGTCTTATCTTAAATTACAGTTTTGTGTAAATACTCAAAAACATTTAACCTACTGATGATTACCAGTAGCAGCTACATTTCTCACCCTCGGCTTACACTCAAGTCAATACGTTTTTCCAGTTTTTTGTGGTAAAATTAGGTCCCTCGGCTTATATTCAGGTCGGCTTATACTCAAGTATATATGGTAGTTTTGTGCCACAAAAACATTTCCGGAGTAGAACAGCTTTCAAAGTAAGGACTGCACAATCAAACAGGAAATATAACACTTTCAAACCAGGAACAGGAAAGTTTTCAACTGTTGTTACATAGTGTTATTTGTACTGACTTCCTGTCATGGTTGAGACCACAGCTCTCATGGACTACAACTCCCATCATCGTTAGGACCACAACTTTCTAGTATTTGGGGACAAGTCCCCTTTCTACATCCCCTATCATTGTTGGGACCATAACTTCCCAGTTTTGGGGAGCATGTCCCGTTTGTTAATTGGACTACAACTCCCATCACTGTTCAGACTACAACTTCCTAGTATTGCAGGGCAAGATCCTTTCCCCCTTTGGACTACAACTCCCATCATTGTTGTGACCATAACCTCCAATATCTGGGGACTATAGCTTTCATGACTGTTTGGACTACAACTCCCATCATTGTTGGGACCATAACCCTCAGTATTTGAGGACAAGTCCCTTATCGCAACTGGAGTACAACTCCAATTGCTGTTCAAGATATAACTTCCCAGTATTGGAGGACAAGCCCTTTTTCTTTATTAGACTACAACTCCCATCGCTGCTCAGACTACAACTTCCCAGTATTTGAGGGCAAGTCCCTTCCCCTCTTTGGATTACGACTCCCATCGCTGCTCAGACTACAACTTCCCAGTATTTGGGGACAAGTATCTTTTCTTAACAGGACTACAACTCACATCACTATTCAGACTACAACTTCCCAGTATTTGGGGGCAAGTCCCTTCTCCTCTTTGGACTAAAACTCCCATCACTCTTTAGACTATAACTTCCCAATATTTGGGGGCAAGTCCCTTCTCCTCTTTGGACTAAAACTCCCATCACTTTTTAGACTATAACTTCCCAATATTTGGGGGCAAGTTCCTTTTTTAATTAGACTACAACTCCCATCGCTGTTCAGACTACAACTTCCCAGTATTTGAGATCAAGTCCCTTTTTTAAATTGGATTACAACTCCCAACGTTGTTGGGACCATAACTAACTCCCAGCATCACAATGGCCAGATGGGGTCTGACTAGATGGCCTCTTGGGTCCCTCCCAATGGTGTGATTCCACCATTCACGCCTATAAATCCAGATCAGAGCAAAGAAGGCCTCTCTCTTCCAAGAATGGGGTCAGACTGAACAGAACATGTGCTGTACTGAGCAGCAGCTAACCTTCCCTGTATTTCCTGCCAAAACCTTGCATAAAGTGTGATGCTACTGCAAGTCATGGCCGACGGATGCCAAGATCTTCCACATGTTCAAGGTATATACTTACTTAGTTAGAGTCACAGCCTGCTTTTCCGGTCCCAAGTTTAATAGGGTGATGAAGTCACAATATAATCAGCACCGGATATCCTAAAGGCCATACAATGCTAATCAAGGTGGCCAATGGCAACATTCACACTTGCCTCAAGCAGACAAGATTCTTTTTCCCACCCTGGACATCATTCCTCAGATATATAAACCTCCCTTGCCTAGTTTCCAACAGACCTCACAACCTCTGAGAATGCCTGCCATAGATGTGGGTGAAACGTCAGGAGAGAATGCTTCTGGAACATGGCCAGACAGCCTGGAAAACTCACAGCAACCCAGTGATTCCGGCCATGAAAGCCTTCGACAACACAATAATATGACTATTATTATTAGCTCTGATTGCCACTCATCAGTTGTAATTGGAAAGCAACCGTTTGCACGACGCTGTTTAGTCCCCCAAAATATTATCATCATCATCATTATCATTAACATCTATATCCCACTTTTTCTCCTTTGCGGTGGTGAGATAACAAATAAAAGTATTATTATTATTATTTACATCTATATCCCACTTTTTCCTCCTTCAGAATGGTATAGTAACAAATAAAAGATTATTATTAATATTATTACTTACATCTATATCCCTCTTTTTCCTCCTTTGCGGTGGTGAGGTAACAAATAAAAGTATTATTATTATTATTTACATCTATATCCCACTTTTTCCTCCTTCAGAGTGGTGAGGTAACAAATAAAAGTATTATTATTATTATTATTATTTACATCTATATCCCTCTTTTTCCTCCTTCAGAGTGGCGAGGTAACAAATAAAGGTATTATTATTAATATTATTATTTACATCTATATCCCACTTTGCGGTGTTGAGGTAATAAAGAAAAGTATTATTATTATTATTATTATTATTATTATTATTATTTACATCTATATCCCACTTTTTCCTCCTTCAGAGTGGTGAGGTAACAAATAAAAGTATTATTATTATTATTATTATTATTATTATTATTATTTGCATCTATATGCTACTTTTTCCTCCTTCACGGTGGTGAGGTACTAATAATACTAATAATAATTAATGACAACTACAACAACCACACCTTTTCTTTATTCTCACAACAACCCTTTGAGGCAGACCACACTTAAACGGAAGGAGAAGCGTAAAATCGTATATTGAATTTAAGAACTCAGATTAGACCTGAAAGAAGAGAAAAAATAATCCTAACCCACAAAAAAGGGAATAAATAATTCCATAGTTTTGTGACAGCAAACTGTAACCATTGCTTTTAAAAACAAAGTACCCGTGAGAGGAAGAGATACAAAATTTTTAGCTACAAGGAAGGGAGAGAGATACAAGCCATTTCCTGTTAATCTTGTTCTGAGAGCACCCAAGGATTAATGTCCAACATGACTCAATTTCCGTGCATGGAATCAAATATATAATCCACACCCAGAGCATGCAATTCAGAAACCGGTCCAACGCCCTTGCCTCTTGTTTGCACTAAAGGAAAAGGTCATCTCTTCTTCTTCTCCTTCTTCCGCCATCTTTCCAGATCTGTTTTCCCAACTGAAAGTTTCTAGTCCTCATTGTGTTGTTTTCCTTCTATTTTCCTCTTTTTTTTGGGGTGTTTTAAATTATTATTTGAAGTGTGGAGCAAACAAAGAAAAGACAGGACTTGATTATAATTGGATTGCTGCAAGTTTTCCGGGCTGTCTGGCCATGTTCCAGAAGCATTCTCTCCTGACGTTTTGCCTACATCTATAGCAGGCATCCTCGGAGGTTGTGATGTCTGTTGGAAACTAGACAAGTGAGGCTTATATATCTGAGGAATGATGTCCAGGTTGGGAAAAAGAATCTTGTCTGTTTGAGGCAAGTGTGAATGTTGCTATTGGCACCTTGGTTAGCACTGAATGCCCTTGCAGCTTCAAAGCCTGGCTGGTTGCTGCCTGAGGGAGTCCTCTCACCTCTGCAGGAGTCTACCATATACAGTGCAACTCTGGACAAGTCTATAGAGCTGTGTTTCTCAACCTGGGGGTCTGGACCCCTAGGGGGGTCGCGAGGGGGTGTCAGAGGGGTCGCCAAAGACAATTAGAAAACACAGTATTTTCTGATGGCTGTAGGGGTTCCGTGTGGGAGGTTTGGCCCAATTCTGTCATTGGTGGAGTTCAGAATGCTCTTTGATTATAGGTGAACTATTAATCCCAGCAACTACAACTCCCAAATGTCAAGGTCTATCTTCCCCAAACTCCACCAGCGTCCAAATTTGGGCATATTGAATATCCGCGCCAAGTTTGGTCCAGATGCATTTGTGCTCTCTGGATGTAGGTGAACTACAACTCCTAAACCCAAGGTCAATGCCCACAAAACCCTTCCAGTATTTTCTGTTGGTCATGGAGCTCTGTGTCCCAAGTTTGGTTCAATTCCATAATTGGTGGAGTTCGGAATGCCCTCTGATATTAGGTCAGGGGTAGGGAACCTTTGGCCCTCCAGCTGTGGTGGACTTCAACTCCCACAATTCCTTGAGGCTCGGCATTCGCCCCAAAGGCTTACCTTGGCCCAATGCCGAGCCGCAAGGAAGTTAGGTTCAATTCCATCATTGGTGGAGTTCAGAATGCCCTTTGATATTGTAGGTGAACTATAAATCCCAGCAACTACAACTCCCAAATGACAAAATCAATCCT